ACTAGATTTGGGTATCCCAAGAAGTTCGGTTATTATTTGCCCGAAGGAATAGATTTTCAACACGTACAGCTATCAAATCGCATATTCAACATACCTTTCGAAGAGTTATTTCCACTTCTACCATCAGAAGAAGATTGCGAATGGCAAATTTGCGCCTTAGAAGACCTTTAAGGGTTCCACGTCTTACTCGTAAACAAATTGCTGCTCGTCTCCAGTGGGCTAGAGAACATCAGGAGTGGCTTTTACCACAGTGGCGAAATGTATTTACAGATGAGGTTAGGTTTGTACTGGTGAGTGATGACCGTAGAATAAGGGTTTGGAGAGAACCAGGACTTCAACAGAGACTAAATTTGGCCCGAGAAGTTGTCCCATATCAGGGCGGATCAGTAATGTTTTGGAAAGGCATAATGTTTAACCACCTGAGTCCTTTAATTCAGATCCAGGGGACAATGACTGCAGAAATGTATGAAGAAAATGTCATACAACCCCCATTATTCAACCTTTACGAAATGAATTCGGTAACAACTTCATTTTTATGGATAATAATGCAAGGCCACATAGAGCGAGAAGGGTCCAGCGGGCTCTAGAAAGGGGCCAAATAGTGAGATTGCCGTGGCCTGCGAACAGCCCAGACATGAACCCCATTGAAAAATTTGGGACACTATAGCTCGAGCCGTACGGAACAGAATAGATCCACCTACAACCCTAAATGAGCTGGCTGCAGCAGTAAATGAAGAGTGGAATAATTTACCCCAAGAAAACATTAACCTCCGAATAATAGGAATGCCAAGGCGTGTTAACGCACTGCTAAGATCTAGAGGACACCGAACTGGTTATTAATTATGTTTTATTTTTTCTTTAGAATAATTATTCTTCTTTAATTTTGATTTTTAAAAATAAAATTTTTGGTACCTTACTTGTTCAACTTTCCTTTTCTTTTCATATTAATGAAATTAATTTAACGTTTTGTTAAATAAATATAGTAAAAATATCCCCAATTTAAAATATATCAAAAATTGAAATTAGAAGGCCCCAGTACGCCAGGGTGTCCAACACTTTTGATGATGTGTGTAGTAGCAGTGAGTCAGTGACGACACCACCGCAGAGCAGTTAGAGTTTGTTACCCATTGTACAATAGTCGGCAGTGGCCTCAATGACCATGCAGCATCGCGCCGTGCACGAAACGCCGATTGCAAAGTTATTTAACTAATTGTGAGCACATTATACGTCGGACTTTTATCAAGTCATTTTCCCGTTGTCACCGGGATTAGAAGTTTCTTAACGATAGAACGTCTCTGTCTAATAGTAATACATTTACAACCCCCTACTGTCTATAACCGTCAACCCTCAAGTTTCAACCCAAAAAAAATCTTAAAATGATCAGGAGCTTCTGAAGCATCAAAAACCGAAGTCTAAGCGATTTTAATTTTTTTTTTGTTTTTCCGCCACCGCTAGATCGATTTTCAAAAATGTTTTCATCCTTGGCATAGTAGTAACCTTGAGTCGAAATTTCATCAAAATCCAAGTGGTATTTCTCAAGTTATAGGCGGTTATAAAATTAGCGGACAGACGGACAGACAGACCGACGAAAATGTGTGACATAATTTTCCGTGATGTACATGTCATATAACATCCAAACAGAATATCTCAATTTCGAAATTTTTGCAGATAACAATACAGGTACATCCTCACCAGTTTTGGCAGAGGAAGTGAAAATTAAATTAAAAAATGAAACAGTTGCAAATCAAAAAGAGCACAAGTTTATAGGGAGGCTTTTTAATATCCTACAGGATTTTAAACGTAGTCCACTAACGATCTCAAGAATCCGTTCAGTGGACCCAGGTCAGAGGTTACCCTGTTTTTGCGTTTAACGGGCTTCCGCTGTTCACTACTGGAAAATATCAAGGCTAGCTATCATTTCGATCAGCATGTTGTTTTGATTTACCCATTTTGATATTCAATAAGTCTCATTTTTGACTTGGTACAAATACACAGTTTTGAATGTTTCCATATTCACCATCAATAACGAAAACCGAGGCTATTGTTTTAATTTTCGCTAACGCATTGCACATTATACGAATTTATCGCTGTCTGACAGGTTAGTCCTTAGAAATCTTGCTTTTGGTTAAATACTTGTGGATCAGTCGATCTAATTGCCCAGAAAACAGACAAAAACGGGGGAAAGGAAGGAAGGAGAATGAAAGGAAAGAATGGGAACATCAAGGAAGAGTCAGTGAGTCGGTTGCAGACGTGCGTAGGTATTGTTGACTAAAATGAGTAGGAAATTTGTTTTGGGGTCTGCTTGTCAAGTTTGTTGTAGAAGCAATTCCAAATCTATAGAATCTATACCTAAATTGCACAGCTTAATTTCGTTCACAGTGCGAACCAACGGATTAGAAGCCAAGCCTATATAGTTTACATTGCATTGTTTGTCGCCATAATTATGTAGTTTTAGTAAATATTTTTGGCTAACCTGCATACCATTACCGACTAAAGTGACAAACCCATATATCGCCATAGTTTTTTCTCTGAAAAGGATACCTCTTCAAGTAGCCACTCGGACCGGGTGTACTCACACACAGAAGGGCATGAATACTAATCAATATTGCGGAGTGAATAGCGTAGTTAGACCGGTATAGGCAGTACTTTTTATTACATAAGAAGAAGATGGACATAACCTACTTATGGGTTTTGATTATTAGTTATAGGACTTTGTGGTATTTTATCTAAAAAAACACCAAACCATCATATCTGCTGTCTTGACAGTTTGCATGAATGTAGGCATATGGGTTAATGCAGGGGTTTTCAAAGTTGATTTATTTTAACTGCTTATAGGACTCGTCAAAAGGAATTGATATACCAAAAATCACCTATATAAAAGTTGCATAATAAAAGAAATAGTATAGATTAAAAACTTTAAAAAATAAGAATGTTATGACATAGTTATCTTTATATTCTCGACCACTGCCATGTAAAATATTAGCGTTTTTTGTTTACTACTCATAAGAGTAGCCAAATTTAGATAAACCATAATGTTTATCTAAATTTGGCAAACTTTTCGTATTATTATATGGTTTTCAGTACGAGTCTTTGGTTCGATCAGTTGTATCAGTATTTTAATACTGGGTATACTTTCATTTGCCTGATTATTTTGCACGAAAAAATGGCACATATTTACGAAAACAATGAACGAGTGGACATAATACTAACATAACGAGAGTGTCAACAAAATGCAGCCACGGCATGCAGGTTGTATGAGGAAAGATTTCCTCTAAGAAATCATCCAGCCCCACGGATGTTTGTAAATTTAGTCATTAGACTTCATGACACAGGATATTTAACAGAGCAACGACGAAATCACGCTGGAAGACCTGCTCAACCTGAAATGTTACAAATTGAGGAAGATATTTTAGAAATGGTCGAAGACAACCCAACAATGAGTACTAGAACCACAGCAGCTTAAGTTGAAGTTTCTCATAGTAAAGTGTGGAACACAATATGACAAGAACAGTATTATCCTCATCATTATCAACGGATACAAGCGTTACAACCTGAATATCATCCTTGAAGAGTTGCATTTTGCAAGTGGCTTTTAGAACAGTTCTGCATAAATGAAGATTTTACGAAATTAATTTTGTGTACAGCCGAGGCTACATTCACACGAAATGGAGTACAAGAACTCATTTTCAGCATAGATTTTCATTAAATATTTGGACTGGCGTGGTAAATGGCATGCTTATTGGCTTTTTACACCTCGACTGACCGGTGAAATTTATTTAGATTTTCTTCGACACAATCTGCCACAAACATTAGAAAATGTTCCTCTAAATCTGAGACAGAATATGTAGTTCCTACATGATGGGGCTCCACCACATTTTAGACGAAAAATTCATGAACATCTAAATAATGAGTTTCCGAATAGATGGACCCATTTCTTGGCCTGCTCGCTTCCCGGATTTAACGCCTTGTGATTTTGTCTGAGTTGATGTATCATGATGGAGCGGTAAATACTCTGGAGGAACTTCAACAGCGCACTGAAAATGCTTGTAATTTAATTCGTGGGCACCAGGATTTTATTTACGAAGAGTCGTGGATTCGCTGAGCAAGATTTTGCGTTAATCGAACAAATGGGGACAATTTTGAACAGTTTTTGTAAAAAAGTATCCGTTTAACTTGAGAATGATCTTTTTATATAATTTTTAATAATGTAGACCATGACCTGACCTGGTGTTGCTCAGCTTTTTGCGTTACACTGAACAGTCCCATCTCCTATCCCATATGCTTGATATATTTTCGTTTTCTATTGCTTTTTACTTTTTTATGAGATTTTCTTGTAAATACCTCTCAAATTTTTTGTTTGTCCTGTATATTTTTTCACTTTTTAGTTTTGATGATAAATATGATCAATCCATTCTCCTATATTTTATCCTTCTTCCAATAATTGACATTTGTAATGCAGATAAATACACATCACATTGATGTATCGACTTCAGGTCGGTTAGCCTTGGCATTGAAAGGTATGAAGAGGAAATGTACCTACCAGCATTAAGGAGCAATACTCTGTTCTTGTATGTTGGGGACGCCATATGTATATCAGATTGCTAAGAACCCATGAGGAGTCTTGATCAGAATGCTCTGGCGAGCTTGTTCCTAAAGTTTGAGCAAGATTCATCGGGGACTGATGCTATATATTAATGCTTAAAAATGGGTAAAAAATTCTAGTTTTCGAGGTCGTCAAATATCTAAATTAAGACCTGGAAGAGTATTTTAAAATAAGTTTATTTTAAAGCAATTTTTAAGCCAGTTTGTTAGTCCAGCTATTGTCTGAAAAACTATAGGATCAGACTTTTGTAAGTCTTCGCAGAAAAATAGAGCTTTCCACTTTGGTTACAACAGCAAAAAATGTTGAGTTTTTGAAAAAGTTTAATGAATCTGGATAATTGAAAAATGATACAAGAATGAAATAGGAAGTTTTATTTTTGTCCAATAAGTATAAATATATATATATATATATATATATATATATATATATATATATATATGTATATAAACTTAACGTAACACAGAAATTATATGTGTACCTAAACAAAAACTGTATGGCATTTAATTGTAAGACACATTAAACTGTCATGTTGATTTTCAGTTTAGTAGTCAGTATCATTAGAAACAGCACTTGTTTGAATAGGAATGTAGCAGAAAATGAAAATCTCCAACTACCCAGTGCATGGTTAGCGCTTTTCTCCAATAACATACCAAAAATGTCTTTTTTATTGTGCAGCAGCGTGTACATAACACATTTAACGCGCATTTATACACGCGATTCCTGTCATCTGGCAGTCACAGTCCACGAATAGCTGATTCCACAAATAGATTATTCAAAATTCATCCAATTTTGAAAACCATCACAGTTTTAGCTCATCGATATCTCCCCATTTTTGAATACCGCATCCCCTATCCCTATCCATATGTTTAATTATCAGTTAAATCATTCAAATAAAAACTTTTTTGGTAATCTTTTGCATAGCCAGTACACAAAAATGTAATCCATACTGCTAGGCTCCACTGTTTATATCGCTGCTGCTATTACTACTACTACTGACTCTTCTACTTTCTTCTGGCAATAAATGCGGTTCTTCATTTTCTTGATACCTGATTGTCTGATACATCAGTATCAATCCACTTCTTAGAGTAATAAATGAGAATACTAAGGGTATGGTTAAACTCTGTGGTATTGGCATTGCCGCTAAAACAAAACAATATGTTACTTTTTACTTTACTACTACTAGAAATGGAAGTAAGAACTTTCACGTATACCTATATATATATATATATATTATATATATATATATATATATATATATATATATATATATAAACAAATACATTTTGGGAAAATCTATTTATGCGATGTTATACATGACATTTGAGGGCACATTTCTAAAATATTGGCCATTATACAGGGTGTCCCAATTCCGACCTACATATCAAAGTTGTGATTTTTCAAATCGAATGCCTAAAATTGTATTGCTTATTTGGATAAACTAATGCAAAAGAAGAAAATTGATATAACATACTATGGAGTTTTGGTAATTAGCTACTGAGATATAAGGTATTTTGTCTAGAAAAACCCCCCACTTCGGCAACCCCTCAGTCCGCCATTTTGAAATTTGGGGTGCTGAATTTTATATCAAAAAAAAACTTACACAGGTCAGCTATTATCTTATTTGTTACTTTTTCGAATTCTAATTTTTGCTCATACAGGGTGGTCAAAAACGCAAATTGTAGTATTTCTCAAAAATTTCAAATCCATCACTCTGTATATTTGTGCAAGCTTGGATTCATTTTTTTATAATCTTTTTTTTGATACGAGACTTATACGGCTATTTTTTCGGTTATTAGCACGACTTTTATGGAACGGCTTAATTCCCTAAAATATCGCTATATCGCTTGGAAACAAATAAATTGTTGATTAGTTACACTGTCAAAATTAGATTTTTGAGCATTATAATAAAAACGTGTTTTAAAATGAATTTTTTTAAAGAAGAAATGGTGAATATGGTGTTCGTTTTGGGCGAAGCCCAAAGAAATAGTTTCTTAGCATCTCGCATTTATAAGCAACGGTACCCTAATATGCGACATCCAAGGCCGGAAACATTTTCCACATTACGAGAACGTTTTGAGTCAGTAGAATAAAGTAAAAAATGTATAAATAATCCAAGTGTCACCAATGAGGCGAATCAGTTGGAGGTTCTATTAAAGTTGCTCATTTTGGATGACATGGGGGGTAGGGGAGTCTAGATGATGATTACGCCATCGGTAGTTATTTACTTTTTTACACGAATGGCAACCCTCACATTGTCTTTGCTTCAAAACGAAACGCATTTTTCCCGCAAATAATGCATACATTTAGTGAACAGCGCGCCGTAATTCCCCTACTCGCTTTAGAACCGAGTAGGGGAATTACCGCGCGGTGTTCACTTGTCTAACTTTCCTCTATCAGTGTATTGTTTCGTTTGGATACTATATCGAGTAGACGTATTGTAAGTATAGTAAACCAAGTTAACATTTGTGTTACCATTGATTCCATTAGCCAAAGTTTAATGTTTAAATAAGATGTCGTTTCACATAGACAAATCCAAGTTTTAAGAAAACTTGTTTGAAAGTTTTAAAAAATCTCATACAAGTACGAAAGTACAAAATTTACAAAAGTTAGTTAACGAAGTGTGGCGAAATTATAAATTACCAGCAAAATCCGACAAGGAACTAGATATTATTGTATCTAAGAGAATCGAAGAAGAATTGCACGCGGCGACTAAGAATAAATCCAATCTACTAATTTTTTTTTTAAGGTGAGCGACAAAATCATTTTAGGTACCTATGAGTACTAGAAATATTAGAAATCGCCAAAAAGTTTCTCTTAGACTGATTAGAAAATATTATGGCCTATCTCAAAGTATAGAGGTAATACTTATTATATTATAGATTTATTTCTAATGACTGATTCCGTCAATTGCTCACAAAGTACAGGATGTTAGTTTTATACACATATATACAGAAAACTAACACCCTGTTTTTTGTGACCGGAACGAATTGCTCGTTTAAACATATTAGATTTAAAGCCATAGGGTTTTGTATTTACCATATATATTGCCATACTTTGTATTTATGTAGCTTAATAAGAGAATATTTAGCAGAAGTCATAGAAAGTTTTTATTTTTAGGCAACCTGTAAACCTGCAGAAAAAACACAAATTATACAGTCAGCTTCAAATATTAAAAAAGAGGAAGAAGATAAAATAAAACCCGGTAATGAATCACAACAGCAATGCGAAATTAATGAAAATACAGATAAACAGAGAGCAAAACCTTCTCAGGAAGATTGCTATACTCGGAAAAACCTGAATGTTTTGTATTCTGTCAGAGATACTATGCCAAGCCGTGCTGAAGTTGATAAACAGATCATTAAGTTGCGCGAGGAAATAAAAACAGCAAAACAGTCTTTAAACAGGAAGGTTCAAAACGCAGTTGCCCAGAAGAAACACAGGGATGGTAAGAAAAGAAAGTTAGAAGATATTTGTCATGAAAATCCAGAAATAAAAAAAGACTATCTCTGAGGGATTCAGTGCGACGTCCTAATCTTGAAAGCAATCAACATATAGCTTTATTTGGGAGTGCAGCAGATGATAGAAGACGAACGGATTCAATTCGCAGCGTAAAAACTCTTGATGAACTCACACAAGAATTACGTAAAATAGGATTTGACATTAGTCGCAGTGGGACATATCTTCGTTTGATTCCCAGAAAATCTAATTCTGCAGAGGGACGAAGACATGTATCGACAGTCCCTGTTAAGCTCATTCGGGCTCAAATTGATCACCACAAGAGCCACTTAGATAGCAAGTTCGCTGAAACATCAAATCATTATTTAGAGAACATAGCATCCATAGTTGGACCAGATCAAGTATTTTTCATATCTCAAGATGATAAAGCTCGAGTCCCTATTGGCGTAACTGCGGTAAATAAGCAAGCACCTCTTCTAATGCACATGGAATATAGAATCAAATTGCCTGATCACGATTGGGTAATCGCTAAGCGTCATAAATTAATACCATCTGTTTATGCTGGTATCAAAATCACTTCCAATATGCTAGGACAACCGCAAGCCGTTGGATATTCTGGACCAACATACATCGCTATTCGAAGTGGAAAGCATAGTTCATCTACTGCTAATACTCATGCTCAGGATTTTGAGACGCTTCTCGAACTTGAAGAGTTTCGACCATTAGCTAAAACTGACCATGGACTAGGAAAACCAGTGGTAATCATGACGGTTGATGGAGTGCCAGATGAAAATCTACGTTATCAAAGAGTCATAGGGTTTGCTATACAGGTACAACACTTTAAGCGACATGATCTCGATGCATTGTTTTTAGCTACCAATGCTCCTGGAAGAAGTGCGTATAACAGAGTAGAGCGCAGAATGGCTCCTCTTAGTCGGGAACTGGCTGGTTTAATATTGCCTCATGACCATTTTGGGTCTCATTTGGATGAACGTGGCGTTACAATTGATGAACATTTAGAAAGATCTAATTTCGAATTTGCAGGAAATGTATTAGGTGAAGTATAGAGTTCAATGGAAATTGATGGCTATAATGTTATTGCAAAACATGTTGGGGCAGGTGAACAAGATCTTCCTGATTTTCCAGACATTAAATGGTATTCAGAACATGTGCGTGAGAGTACTTGCTTCAAATTGTAAAATGTAGAAATACAGAATGCTGTCGTCCAAGAAGTGGCCTATTTAGATTACTAGACAATAGGTTTCTTCCACCACCTGTAAAAGTAAAACAAACAGTTGATGACTTGGTTTTGGATGAAGGAGGGCAATTTCGTAATCTTCCAGTCAATTTAGCTCTACGCTTAAGTGCTTCACTCAAAGATTTCCTGCAAATGCCCTACGATTATTTTCGTCCGACGGTAAAATTGAGGCTATCAAGTCAAACATGCAAAACGTGTGGTCTTTATCATGCTTCCGTCAAGTCACTAAATCGCCACATCAAAAATATCCATAAAAAAGTGAACACGCACACTGATAGGAAAGTTAGACCTGTAAGAGTCGCTGCTCGTCGTGCTAATGAACTGATGTGCATTATTCAAAATTTAGAGCACCATGATGTTGAATGGCTCGATGAGAACGACGTAGACATTCCAAAATCCGATGAAAGTGAGCAAACTCACAACACTGAGCAGCAATCGAAGCAATCCAATGTCGTCGAAAACTTAGAATCATGGATTTGGGTTTCATGAACTGAAGACTGTCAATTTGAATTTAATATATGTACCAAAAATTTAAAATAAGTTTGTTATGTTAGTATAATTTTGTCCTTTACTCTATGTTGAATACCGTATCAGTAAAATATAATCTCTATCCTAAATCTATTTTCTTATTTTTCAAATTATAATTATAGCGTTATAATTATAATATTAAAAAAAACAATACATTAATTGACAAATGTTTACGTGAGCATGGGGGGAGGGGGTAAGAGCTTTGCTTACTTTTGCTGACAAGGGGGATGGGGGGTAAATAATTGTAATAAATCTGCTTACGTAATACTTGAACGGCCCCCACCCTAAATGAGCAAAAATGAAAATTTGAAAAGGTAACAAATAAGATAAAAGCTGCGGTGTGCAAGTTTTTTTTGATACAACATTCAGCACGCCAAATTTCAAAATGGCCGATTGAGGGGTCGCCGAACTGGACAGTTTTTCTGGACAAAACACCTTACATCTCAGTAGCTTATTACCAAAAGCCCATACTTCTTTTGAATTGGTCTATCCAAATATGCAGTAAAATTCGAGGCATTCCATTTAAAAAATCAGAACTTTGATATGTAGGTCAAAATTGTATAATTACTAATATTTTAGAAATGTGTCCTCAAATGTAATGTATAACATGTCATAAATAGATTTTCCCAAAATGTATTTGTTTATGAGTAATATTCCATCCACACATAGAGGGGTCACCCTGTATATAGATTGATAGATGTATATGTTTTGGCAACATTCTGTTGGACCTGCTTAGATAGAGTAAAGTGTTAGTTTATATTTGTTAATAAATGAACAAGAGTCAACACATCTATTATTTGCTTGAGTTATGAGACTTTTCATCAAGAGACTCCTACTCACGTCTTCTCAAAGATATCTGCATAGTTGCATAGTAGCCTATGCTCAGCAACCCTACTGAAGCAATAATGATGCCCAGACGACATATATGCCTTAACTGTATATGGCTATACCAGGCATAGAGCTGGCCCCTTCTATTAAGATGATGCAGGAAGAATGACAAGGCATCTGTTGAACCTGGAAAACATATTGTTTTGTAGATATATTTTATGTAGGAACAAAATACTGCTAATAGGTACCTAGTGCTTTGACATTTTGGAATGTATTGCTCCCATTGACATCTTTACCCAATTGCTACTAATAAATACTGAAAATGGAGAACACCTCGTAGAGTTTCATGTAATATTTATAATGAAATGTACTCTTTGCTACAACTTAAGTATTTAAAGTAAAACCAAAACAGTTTGAGAAGTTTATCATTTTGTGTAGTCAAATACCTATAATAATTAAAAATAACGTCTTTGGTCTAGCTTTCTGAGAATCTAATCGCCATAAAATGCCGCTTTGTATACTCTTGAAACTTCAAGCTTAGGAACAGTGTTGCCATACGTAGCGGAATTCCGCTATTTGTAGCGGATTATTTTGAAAAGAGCGGCGTAGCGGCGGTTGAGCAAATTAGCCCAAAATGTAGCGGAATTTATTACTTACAAAACTATCATATTTATTTCACTGTTTTAACGTTAATAACGTTCTAAATCCTAAATAGGCAGTGGCTAGAGTCTGATTTATTATCACATTAATAATGAAATTGGTGCATTTGGTGCCGCTTGAGCCATCTAGGAACAGAGAAGAGAATTATTCCACTTGCCTTTTTTTTCAATAACAGATGGCGTACGTACTGATTTCAATACTAATCGTTTCTAACAGGTCTCAGCAAGCAGACATAATATTAGGTTTCTCGCTTTGTATTGTATTTTTCAGCTCTGGGTATATACTGTTTAGTTTCGTTTATATTAGTGTTCTTATTTTTGTGTTGTTCATTTTATTGATATATCATTTGCTGCAGATTTTAATATTAAATCTACTGGTAAGTAACAAAACTGCCTAAATATCTAACATATTATAGTTTGATCCAGAAATAAATCTTAGTCGCGAAATTTGTTTTTAACGCTTTTTCTTCTAGAAAATAGGAATAATGGAAAGGCGACAGCAGACCATTAACGATTTTTTTGATAAAAATCGTTCTAAAAAACAGACGGTGAAACCAAACGTGACCGTACCATCCACTTCGACTGCATCTGTGTCGGACTCGGAGCATCCCGAACCTGAATACAGACAAAATATAAGAGCGGAATCTATTGGAATCAGGTCTGAGCCTGATAATTCGACTTACGAATCTCAGGATAACCAAGAGCAACCTGTTAAGAAAAAGACACGAAAACAAATGTTTACTTCATCATGGCTAGAAGATCCGTTATTTAAAGGCTGGTTGGGACCTATTGAAAATGACAAGTTGAAAGCAAAATTTAAAGCTTGTAATCAAATAATGGGTGCTAAAAAATCAGATTCAGTGAATCATGCGAAATCAAAAAGGCATGCCACTAATGTACAAGCAATTTCAAATGTAAGAACGTTAGATAGCACTTTTCAGTCTCGGGAAGCACGTGAGTTGGAAAAACGGCAAATATTTGCTTGCTTAAGATACTATAGTCTTTTAGTTGTAAGTCATTATATAAGTTTTAGAACTGTTGATCATATAACAGGAGTTAGTCAATTATGTTTTAAAGACCCAGATCTCCCTAGCTCACTTAAATTAAAAAGATCCAAATGCATAAGTATAATTAAAAATGTGCTGGCTCCTGTTATTAAAGACGAAATAATTTCAGAATTGGAAAATAAACCACTTTCTACTTTATTGGATGAGAGTACAGACCTGAGCAACACAAGACTACTATGCATTCTTGTAAGGTATATTCATAAAAATTCAATGAAAACCCATTTATTATACGGTACCGCCAAAGGTTTATATTCTCTTTTTAAAAAATGCGTTATATCCAATCAAGTAAAAATTACCAATATTGTTGGATACTGTTCGGCCAGCGCTAGTGTTATGATGGGCAATAACGAATCTTTTAAAACATATCTTTTAAAAGATAATCCTAATATAGTTGTCAATGGCTGCATTTGCCACTCTGCTTATTTAGTGGCGGTGGCGGCAGCTGAAAAGATTCCAAGCAACGTTGAAGCTCTTTTACAAAACTTATATTCTTACTTCTCAAGAAGCCCAAAAAGGCAGTGTGTTCTTGAAGAATTACAGGAATATTTCAAAAAGTCAAAATTAAAAATTTTAATCCCTAGTAAAACAAGGTGACTTGCTTTATCCAAATGTGTTGATAGAGTTTTGGATCAGTGGGACATCTTGCTTAGCCTATTTAGATTAGCTTCCATTGAAGACAAAAATCCTGTAGCAAATGTAATACTTGATGAGTTACAGAATCCATTTGTTAAGGCGTATTTAATGTTTTTTAAATTCGTGTTGCCCATTTTTAACCAATTTAATGCTCTCTTTCAATCAGAGAAAGTTATGCTCAATATCATATCAATAGAGAGTGAGCGATTTGTACGTCATCTATGTACAAACTTTATGCGACCAGAATATTTTAAAAATGAGAAATTATATAATCTAAATCCTAATGATCCCCACTGCTTATTACCAATTGAACAAGTGAAAGTTGGTCCGCATACAATGGATGCAATAAAACACTGCAATAACACGGCAATCGAACAATTTAAATTAAAATGTGTCACATTTTACCAAAAATCGGTAGAAGAGTCCCTTAAAAGATTTCCTATCAAAGACAACTTCTTTTCAGAGCTAAAGTTTCTCTCACCGGTTGATGTGATGAACAATCGTCTTATTATAAGTGATACCTTTCATGACGCCGTTTTAAAAAAATTTGCCCTTCATATTGAAACCGAAAAGGCAATTTTGGAACTAATGAAAATATGTATTTATTTTAGTGATAGTGAGAAAGAGGAAATTTTAAAAACAAAAAGTAATGTCATTGAATTTTGGTCGTTTGTAAACGACCTCAAAAATTTTAATGAATATTTATTTCGCAATATAGGTAAACTGGCTCTAATCATTTTAACATTGCCTCATGGAAACGCTGATGTTGAGCGAACTTTTTCTTATATGGTATGTTTGATTACAAAACAAAAAAAAGAAATAAAATAATACCATCAACTTTGTCTGCACTACTTACAATTAAATTAGACTTGGAATCAAAAAAACAGTGCTGTTTATCCTATGGTATTAATGAGAATCATTTAAACAAATATAAAAAGAATTTATATAATGTAAATAAGGAAGCACAAGCTGAAGAAGAAGTAATTTCTGATTCTGACTGAATAAAATAAGCAAACGTAGGCATTTCCACGTTTCCGCTTCTTCTTTGTCCTTATTTTTTGTTTTTTTTTTTTCTATTAAGATATTGGTGATAGTTTCTATTTCTTTATAAGTTCCTAATTCTAAACCAAAGAAAGTTTTTTTAGAGGTATACTTTTTATGTTTTTACGAAAAATTGCAATTATATTATGTTACTGTTTGTATTTTTAGTAGGGTTTTTAGACAGTGTTTAAAAAAAGTAAATATGTAAAAAATATATTTGTTGTTTATTTTAAGCCCCCCTCCCCCCCCCCCCTTAAATTTTTAGACCGTAGCGGCATGTAGCGGAATTTTGCGATACGTGTGACGGATATTTTAAACTTCGCTCTGGCAACACTGCTTAGGAACGAAGCCGTGCTCATTATAGTTGGTACGTGTGGTTCAAAAATGGATATTTCAAAACTTTTTCAATTACCCCTGTACAATCAGCGCAAACAAATGCTGGTTTATGCTTGTCTGCAAACAACACTCGTAAGCCCGGCTAGCTCAGTCGGTAGAGCATGAGACTCTTAATCTCAGGGTCGTGGGTTCGAGCCCCACGTTGGGCGACAGTTTTTTGTTTTTTTTTTATTCATTTTAAACAATAATGAATGTTTATAAAACATTTTACCTGAAACAAAACCAAGCACTGCCGCAGGGTAATTCCCCAGTATTATGAACGTCACGAAAGCACTGTAACCCAACAAAGTACAAACACCACTATAAACAAGTGCCCAGGTAGTCATTTCTATAATTTTGATTTGGTTTACGAAATTAATTGTGCTAATATTCTAATTTCATGTGTACTTTGCAAATCGCATATTGTTGTGATTTGCAATTTTTATTTCATTTATCAGAAATATACACACTACAAAACCAAAACAATAAACAGTACAGCACAAAACTCGGTAGAATGACAAAACACAAAACACTGGTATAATTCTATATTCCATGTCATCCATAGAGCATGAAGACCAGAGATAGGAAGTTACACTCATGGGAGGGAGTGAAACCAGAAATGTCAACGTTGAAGTTAGTTGATAGACGACACAGTAAATCAGTAAATAATGAATTTCAGGTGCTGCGCATTGGGCATCTATCTGGTGTGTACACTGCGCAGAGAATGAATTTGACATTTTTCAATGGGTAGATGGTCTGCGCCATGTTCTACGCACAGTAGATTTTCAAGAGCCACACCATCCTTTGCGACAGGATTCCAAATTTCATGATCTTCCATGGAGCAAATAGCAAATAATTCAATCACAGTGCTACCAATATTAATTAAGAACTGATTTGCCGATGGCTACCGATGTACCAATCCTTAATTGTAATGGGTGTAAATGGTGAACATGAATACCTGTTAGCTGTTAGCCGATGTAAATGGCGGCCATTAATACGTCTTTTTACAATAATTAATCAAAATCAACCGTTATGATTCTAATCATCGACGTAAGTTGTAAGCTCAAGTTGTCAAAAATGACAAGTCAAAAGTCATTCGCGCATCTGCGACCGTGGTAAAAACAAACTTAACAAACGCCAGTCATCTTTATTCAATAAAGTTGCTATTTATCAAAAAAAATTAAAGAATGTTTGATCCGATGGGCGCTCCACCTGCCCTTTGGCATAATGGACCCACTCCTGGGGGTTTCTATAACTTTCCAGCCATTCAAACAAGACCAAGTGAGCCAATAACACATTCAAAGTAAGTTAACCTATCCCATAGAATGATTTGCAATTTACATTTTGGGACCTTTTTAGGTCTCCAGTGACCACAGCCACTTCTGTGATAGCCCTAGCATATGATAAAGGTGTAGTCATAGCCGGCGATCTATTGGCTTCTTATGGGTCTCTGGCACGTTACAAAAATTGCCCTAGAATTCTGAAAGTCAATGAAAACATCTTACTGGGTGCCAGCGGAGATTATGCTGATTTCCAGTACATTAAGAGTTTCATTGAACAGAAAATGTAAGTTTTGGAATACATTTACTTATATTCAGTCCTATTCAATTGATTTTTTCCATAACACACATATAGTTATTGGCTATTCATGTATTACACCACTTGTTTATAAAGAAAGGTTTTAAGCAGCACCTAATTTCTTTGTCGAAACATTACAATATTAAACAAAGGAGACAAAGCTATAATCCTTTACGAAACCTAAACCTGCCCAAATACTATTTATATTAACATTTGTTTTATCTCAGAATTGATGAAGAATGCATTGGTGATAATATTAAACTGAAACCAAAGTCATTGTATTGCTGGCTTACAAGAGTTATGTATCAGAGAAGAAGTAAATTTGATCCATTCTGGAATAATATCATTGTTGCTGGGATTCAGGTATTGTATTATTTAAGATATTTTGTTTCACAAGATTCTAACTAATAAAGCTTATTTTTTGCTTATATGCAAGATTAAAAGTTACTGCAAACATGCAATAATTCTGTACGTGTATTTGACAGTAGTATATGATCAACAACAACCAAAAGTTATTAATAAGTTTATTATTATTTATTTTTCAAGTATTTAAGGAGTAGGTTTTCACTAATACAGCATTAAAACCATTCAGAGTAGAATTAACATTTTAACCTTTTTTTTTTGTTTTGTAGGATGGTGAACCATTTTTAGGCCAGGTGGATAAACTAGGAACCGCTTATACTGATCGAGCCATTTGTACTGGGTATGCAGCCCATATTGTGCTGCCCATTATAAGAGACTTTTTAGATAAGAACCCCAACCCTACACAGGCAGAAGCAAAGGCACTGGTTCTAAAATGCATGGAGGTAAGTAGATGGAGTCTTGTTTTTCTTAGATTTGTATTTACACCTTCATGAAAAAAAAAATTGGAAGAGGAATTCTGTTTAGGTGAAAATGCTTTAATGTTGATGTTTTTTAAGATTTTGATATTAAAACATTAACAATTATATTTAGTAGATCAGGACTGTGATACTGTCAAATAATTTGAACTTTCAGGAACTAAAAGCATTACTGTTTGTTTCAGGTGTTATACTATAGAGATGCAAGAAGTTTCTCAAAATTCCAAATTGGAATTATGGACAAAGAGGCTGGATCTAGCATTGAGGGGCCTCTTACTTGTGAAGAAAACTGGGAAATTGCTTTGGTGGCTAAGAATTAATTAAGCAACACTTAATTTTGTTTATCCCATAAAATAAACCTTCTTTTATATGGACTATTGCTTGATTTTTCCTTGTATACATGTGGAAATAGGTATGTATTGAATCAGTGCAATTTAAAATATGCATCCTGTTTTAAAATATACTACAGTGAAACCTGGTCAAGTGGCTTATGGATACGTTATTGGCAATAACAATGAAGTCCTGACATTTACCTTTTGTTAAGAACTTTCAAACACATTTCAATTAGTATTTGATTCTATGATTAGTTTTGTATCTTTTTGAGTTTGATGGGGTAGCAAATTTTTCCAGAGTGTGATGTGGAAATCTTCAAAATTGTACATCCTGAATATGCAAGTTCAACCAGATTCAAGTAACCAGAGATTTAATTATAATTCTTTAATTTATATTTGAGATCAAGATATGTACAATATACAAGACTATTTTATACATATTAGGAACGAAAATATAATTACCTTGAAATTCTGGCTCCTAACAGCAAGGAAATTGTAGTCACTTGGGTCTTGCCCAAACCAGTGAGAGTGCAGTGTCATCTGAAGATATACCTACGCTCTTTCTCTCACTCGCACGCATATGCCACTTTCTGGAGCACCTGGCTGGTAGATTGTCCCATTGAAATGATTTGTCCCTTATAAAATATTGACATAATGTATATGCAATGAACATGTGAGGTTCTACAAACCAATTTATTAACTATCCAAGTGACCCCATAGCTTCCACATACTCAACAACTGAATAGAATGGGTAGTTAAGCAAGGCTTTTTAATAACTTTGAGAAGTTGGGATTAGATATATTTTCAAAGTTCTTTATTTGCATTGACGAATAAATTATATAAAGTTAGTTCTATTATTTTTAGTCATATTCAGTCGCGAGTATGGATTCCTTAGGCAATTAACATTATGTAGTGCATGAGTGTGTATTTCTGCAGAGGTTTGATATTGGTTTAGATTTCTGAGCACATAACATAGACTACAAAAATATAAATTGATGAAACTGGTAATATTTGTACATTTTTGAAGTGATTTCTGCACGTTGATCCATAACTGGAAGTTGTAATTATCCTCAAAGCCGTTTCTTGTAAAATGAAAATGTTGTTAGATGCCTGCGAGTTTCCCCCAAAGCAGCATTGTGCCATATTATGTAATGTGACTATGGAACATGCTGAAGTACTCTACCCAGAAAATATTGTTATCGAGGCATCTGCATAGCTGCCTAAGAACAAATAGTTGTGACATGTCCAGTTTGATCTGGTATCAAGTACTATTCCTAGTTTTACTGGTTCAGATCTTACAACCCAACTATGGGAGGAAAATAATATACAGGGTGTTTCAGTTTATTGTTGCATAACTTCAAGATTCGATAGAACTTTTAAAATTAATGCATAAAATCTATATAAACATGGGTCGAAAAATGTGTGGCTTCCGAAATACAGGGTGTTTAAATTTACTCTCTACTGTACCTGTAGTGTATTAAAATGACCGAAAATTTTTTCTTAGTGCAATTTTTTGCTTTTTGAATAAAAAAAACTGATTTTTCGCACTTCTCAACATAAAAAAGCTCTCCAGTGAGTTTTCGTTATAGTTAGCCGGTTTTGAGATATTTCGATTTTTAAGGTTCGATGCATTTTTAATTATTTATGGGAAAATAATATTTTTTTCACATTTTCGATTTGGGCATTACAAGTAATTAAGATGATCGTTTAGATTGTGTTTTTAAACACAGCAATAATTCCTAACTCCAAATAAACACAAAAAAACAATATTAATTTGTTTAATTTCCCAATATTATTTTTAACAAATTAAATTAATTATTTACAACTAAAATGCTATTGGATAGTTAGGACAAACATGCAAAATCTAAAATAGTTGCTCAAAATGTAAACCCAATTGTTCAATAGACAATTCACATCTACGAATGATCGAACGTGGTATAGCATTATTCAAATAAGACCTTATTTCATCACATGCATTCCTGATTCTGTCTATTAGCATATCTCTTGTGGTTACGGGAGTCTGGTACACTTTTTCTTTTAGAAATCCCCACACAAAGAAATCTAATGGATTTAGGTCAGGGGATCCTGGGGGCCAGGCGACTGGTCCTCCACGGCCGATCCATCTTTCTGGATAATTTTCGTCCAACCAGTTTCTAACTATTCTCGAATAATGAGCCGGACAACCACAAAGCTGGAACCAGGCCAATCTTCTTAAATCTAACATAACATCATCCCACATATTTCCAGCAGGCAAAAGGTAGGGTCCAAATAGTGGATTATGGTAGATACCAATCCACACGTTCACACTAAATTCATGCTGAAAATTTCTTTCCCGAACTGCATGCGGATTTTCATGCGACCAAATATGTTGATTATGAAAATTTACCACTACACGTCTAGTGAAGCATGACTCATCGGTCCATAAAACGTTACTTAAAAACTCCCTATTATTATCAGTTCTATCAAGAATCCACTGACAAAATGTGATTCTTCGTTCTCCGTCCCCTGGCTGTAGTCCTTGCACATTTTGCAAATGCTAAGGACGTCTATGGTCATTTCTAAGAACACGGTGAGCATGGCTTGCTGAAATTCCCAAGGCACCAGAAACTCTCCTAACACTTGTGGTCGGATCTCTATCAAACTCACGCAGAATCATACGGGTAAATCTGCGCTGACGAACATTCATGTTTTGATCCCTTTGGAGATTTCCAAAACCATTTTCAATTATTTGGCGATGCACTCTTGCAAATACTGAGCGAGTTGGATATCGTCTGTTTGGAAATCTTCGTGCGTATTCTCTGGCTGCTTCTGCTGCGTCTCCATTTACAAAGCCATACACAAAATGAATTGATTGGAGAATAAAAATGGCATTTTAATAAAACTTACAAAAAAAAAAAACAGGTAAAAGAAACTAAATTTCGTGCATTCACAATTGCAAAAAAACGTTTCAGGTTTCAACAGACAACAAAACTAACTGTCAACTAATTGACGTTTTGCTTTCAATTTCAAAAATATTTGCAGGCACAGCCTACTTCTAAACATTATCGAGATACTGACGTTAACGTTATTTTATCATAAATAATTAAAAATGCATCGAACCTTAAAAATCGAAATATCTCAAAAACGGCTAACTATAGCGAAAATTCACAAGAGAGCTTTTTTATGTTGGAAAGTGCGAAGAATCAGTTTTTTTATTAAAAAAGCAAAAAATTGCACTAATAAAAAATTTTCGGTCATTTTAATACACTACAGGTACAGAGCGCCCTCTAGCGGCTACAGTAAAACTATGCCCATGGTTCGTTTTGTCGTACCAAAAAAACCAATTTTCACTGTTATACATACAACTATTTAAGAAAGTAAATTTAAACACCCTGTATTTCGGAAGCCACGCATTTTTCGACCCATGTTTATATAGACTTTATGCATTAATTTTAAAAGTTCTATCGAATCAAAGTTGTGCAACAATAAACTGAAACACCCTGTATATCTATATGAATAAATTATCGCTAAACGAAAACAAGGCCTTTTGGCTTGTTCCAGACTATCCACAGCATGCCTCAAGTTTTTTCAATATAGTTTTGCAAGCATCTGGCAAAGTTTAAGTCCTGACAAAATGATCTAGTTTATTTTTTTTTCATTCTTTAAATGTCCAATTTGAAGGTTTGAAATTTTCGAAAAGCTCCAGAGGGAATCTTGTTAAAAAAATCGCATCTTTAAAAACATAAGGGTTGGTTTAGAACCGCCAGCTCTGCAGTTCTAAGATTGAGTGTTATAGGAGCATTAGAAAAGTTTTTAGCCTGACTCAAATACTACCCAAAATTATCTATCAACTCTCCTACTATTGTAAGACCAGGGCCATCTTCAGGGTGGAGCGGCAACTCCAGGCCTCGCGCCACACAACAAATAAGTAAAAAGTTTTGGTTGAATGAAAATAATATAATAATGTACAGATATATGTGCGTAAAATATGTCTGATTACTCTCACAATATGTTAAATTATTGATTAAATACAAAACCCAAGAAGGAGATCATCATGACCAAAAGATAATACATATACATATGTGCAAATAATATGAATGTTTTGTAATAATATGTGCTTATTTATGATTGATTATTCACTTCAAAAGAAAAAAATTTCTTATACGAATTTATTTCCTGGCAGACCTAGATTTTATTACAATTTTCCTAATGGTTCATTGCTTAAAAAATCAAAGTGGAAGAGTTTAGATCATAGTTATGTCATACTTCTTTCTTATCTCAATTCTTTACACAGAGTGAAATATTGTATACTTATACTATCAAAAATAAAAATACACTCAACCCTCGCAAATAAAACAAATCATGTCAATTGGCGTGTTTTGAGATGAAATGACTTCATCAAAACTTTTTTGCGCGAAATTTTGAAATTTTTCGGAACAGACCACTTTTTAAAAAAAAGGTCTCGCGAAAATGTTTTGCTCCAGGCCTCGCATCTCCTAAGGGCGGCTCTGTATAACTACCACTTTAAATCTGCCTTTTCCATAAACTTGGTAAATGAAAAGCTTCTAAGTAATCAAAAATTATAGGTAGCCTGTGACATACCATTTATACAGGTTTCACTGTAATTACTTCTGAACACATACAATACAGTATCTATCACCTTGGAGGGAAAACCCCATTATCAAGTGAACAAATAATCAATGACTATCTATAAAAACCTAGCATGTTCCATAAGTAGGTTAAAAATTAAACAACAAAAATAGCTTAGAAATGAAACAAGGAATCATTATAACATTTATTATTCAGGAAAAAACAAAAAATGAATCAAAGAAAGGTAAGTAATGTCTAGTTTTAAATATAAAAGATGACAATATAAACTAAAATCCAGAGTATTATTATAGTAACATAATAAGCTGTGTAGAAAGTGAAGATCTTTTTGTGTTAAGTCCCTAGTTCAAAATTGGCTTACAAAAAAATAAGCTGGTCAGCACCACCCCACCAACAATAATAAGTATGAAACTTATTCAATTTTAATTTAACAACAAATCAGGTGATTGGATATTGATTATAATGCAAATCTCTTAAAAGAGAGTAGTGCAGAACTAGAGCTATAGCCTATATGATTGTGTTTATTTCTCCATCCTTGTAAGTTATAGTAAGTTACATATGAACCAAGCAAAAAAAAAATTGTTGATGGGTAGTTATGCTCTCCGGTTTATTTACCCCTACACAAGCATTATTCTGAGGAGCTAGTCACTTTAATTCATACTTCAAAGTCAAAATAAACAAAATCTTACTTAAGCAGTCTTTAAGAAATAATTGATAAAATAATTTAGTATGTAATTCTTATTGCCGTACTATATTTTAATTAGAATTTTCCAAAAAAAAAGACTATTATATATGGTGACTCACAACTTTTTAGGGTATGTTTAAATATATGACAAAATAATACCTTCTGCTACATTGCTAGCAAAAAATATTGAACTGACACTTTTAAAGAAATGGCATTTCACTAATGTACATAAACAAAAATGATAAAAGATCAGTGAAAGAACTGTTGCATGATCCGTGAAAACAAGATAGTGGGATTCCAATTTGCTGACAGAATTTCCGGTTTTTGAATATTGCCAAGAGACTCATTGTATGTTGATATTATGACATTGGTTATGTTCTGTTGCATCTAGACACTACAACCTAGCACCCTACTCTGCTAGACACCATACGAATGGTCCACTTTGAAATTTGTGAAAAGATAGAAGTCAAACATGTGAAATAGGATACGCCCAGTTGTGCTAGTTGTCAGCAGACTTGGTCAATAGCAAGCAATACTCATGAACAGGGCTAAGCCATACTTCAGCTGAATGTAACCAATGCAGCTATAAAATATTTCAATATTTGGAAAAATATGCAGTTTTAGCTATAGTTACAGAACTAAAGAATATAGTTTGACACAAAATATCAAATATACTGTTACAATTTAAAAATCATTTTTATCTCAGATACCTTGGTGGTTTATTTGTTAATGCTGAATCATAGTGTGGACTTTTCAGAATATTAATATCGACAGATCAGGGAAGGCCAGTATAGAACGTTTGCTCTGGATAGTTGATTCTCATCAATCACAATATGTTTATGTACATCATAAATAATTAACATTCCTATTTGCTGTATTAATAAGTGGTTGTACATGGTAAAATAATTTTATAGATAAATGAGCATATCCCCACATACATTTTCTGTGCTCAATAATGTCTTCCTGAACCATTATTAGGTGACCTTGACCTGAACCGATCCTCAAATCGCCTGCCGCCTCCTCTAGGACCTCCTCTAAATCCACCACCCCCTCTTCCATTCTCCCTCCCAAAGGAGTCGCTCCTGCCATAATCCCTACTGCCCCCAAATCCCCTATCTCTTCCCCCTCCACCAAAGTTATTGTACCTGTCTCTGGGTGGTCCTCCAAAATCTCTACCACCTCGAAAACCTCCGCGTCCTCTGGGAGCACCTCTACTTCTGGATCTTCCCCTAGCAATTTCCACTCTGAGTTTGGATCCAAGGAAGTCCGTGCCGTTTAAATTGTCGCAAGCCGTTTCGGCATCAGCTAGTTCAGTGAACTCAACAAACGCGAAACCTGGAGGGTTGAACGCCACCCAGACTGAGTTGAGCTTACCAAACTTCTCAAACTCGCCTTCGATGTCTTCCTTTTTTATTTTTTCGTCCAGACCGCCAACGTATACGCGTGTTCCGCCATCTTGATTTCGGTCGCCCATTTTGCTATGGAAAATTCCTGTGTTAGACTTTTTAATTGTTGGGTCAGAATGTAAAAGTTAATGGAGAAAAATGCTAATATCGACCAAGTGTACAAGGTGGATCATAATAAAAATTCTTGAATCCATCATAGTGCATCTAATTGATGTCTGTTTCACACTAAATAAGGAAAGCAGATGACATGTCAGTGCCCAAGCAATGTAATCAATGCATGATTTGAAAGTTTTGGACAACATGAATGTTAGTGGTGTTTGAATTACCCCAGATGGAACCATCCATATCTGCCATCGAGACAAGTTTGAATATGGAATACTCCAAATTTGATGTGATATCACAGAACAGATTAAAATAAAAGTGCTACTAAATACTGCCAATTGGGGACATCCATTTTTTAGGCGCGTTTTATTAAGATCTACTAAATTGGAGAGCATAACTATAGTGCCACCAACACCTTTCTTTCTCTTGGTTCAATTGTAACTTAATAAAACTTACCATGAATGATAAAACAAACCAAAACAATAAATGCGGAGCACATTCTTATTGATTTAACAAATTCATCCAGTAAGTTATATAAAGTTAAATTTACAGCAACTAAAGAAAAAACAAAAATTGTTGGTGGAGCTATATGCTCTCCAGCATATGTATTTTTAGTATGCAGCTTATATTTTGGAATGGTTTAGGGGCAGGCAGGCCTCACAGGGTACCGAGGTGAGGAAAAAATAAATTTCATACAGGAGTTCTCGTAAGATACTAAACATGTGTTATCTCTTGCATAGGGTCCGAAAAGCTAAAACAGAAGTTATTTGTCAAACCTGTTCCACAGCCATTTTACTTTTGGACCATAGGCATGAGATTACTTGATCTAGTCTAATATCAAAAAAAAATCAGTTTGATATTTCCTAATCCCAATAACCTGATCAATTGTTCATTCTAATATTTTTCTCTTATTAAAATTTTTGTCAATAATGGGAGACAATATCGATAGCTAGAAGTAGATGGCACTAGTTAGGCTGAGGGTCATATTCATCATAACTTAAGATTATGAACAAACATTTCAATTGTTGATCAGCTGTTTACGTCAATAGACGCCAAAACGTGAAAAACAGGTTAACATACAATCAAAACTGTCTTTTTCACAATCTACATTTGACAAAGCTTTAACCCCCAACTAGACTGGCACATATAATGGGAGCAAAATCAGAGATTGCTGCTCTAATATAGTTTAGCTACACAGGGTGTTTTCAAAGCATTGGACAAAAACCATAATCATAATGCTTTGGACTATCCTTAGAGTTTTTAATGTTTGAAATACTATTTTTGTTTGTTTTTGATAAAATGAACAGTTTTTGAGAAAAACAGTCTTGTTTGAATACTGCTCCCATTCATTTACACTCCAGCCAATCTACAAAAGTTTTAAACAAAACCTAAAGCTTGATAGTAATCTGAAAACATTACAAAATGTCATTTTATCAAACTCACAAGGATACCTACATTTTTAAAGCTGAAAAGGCCATTAGGTTTTGCCCATACATACAGGGTGTTAATAGAGTATGTAGACAAACTTTAACCATCAAATCCACGGTCATATTTGAAGACTATGTTCGTATCAGCTTTCTTTTTGAGCTAGAGGACTATCACTAAACAAATATGAGTAATGTTTCACATATTTCGAATAATGAAACATATTTATTGAAGAGTTGGTATAACCCATGATAAATTTTGCATGTTTTACAAGTTGCTGAGGCTCAATATGTATGTGGATAAAAATAGTATTATCCTGCATTTTTGGGAAAAAATTTATTTAGGTCAATAGTTTTGAACAGTAACATTCAAATAGAATAACAATAGAAAATATCAAATAGTTTTTTTACAATTAATGTTCAAAGTGGTCACAAATTATTTGATAAAATAAATTATATAATTGTTTTCGGGTATGTCATACGCGTCTACATAAGCACAATGCTTAAGTATTAAAAGTATTGTGATCAAAGCAAATCAATGTCATGCGATTTTTTAAAAAAATACTGGATAACATTATCGGCATCTACGTACATGGATGGTCTGAAAACAACTGTAAATCATGTGATATTCACCACAGGGCAATGCTTAATTAAATGTTTCATTCTTTTATAATTTTTTAGAACAATATCATTTCTTTTAGGCCCGTATCGTCAGTCGTCCCTACAATTGTAAGGCGCGTTTATGGCCTCCTCGATTGTCATACTCCTTTCTCTCTTTCAAAAATTTCTACATTGCACCTGTCCCGTGTCAGCGCTCTCCTATTCTGAAGATATGTTTTCTTTTTATATTGTAGGAAATTTCAGGCTGATAAAACATGATATAACTCAGAAGCAAGCACAATTTGATGCAAATAGATGTTTGTGACATAACCTCAAAATAGAGCGCTGACATGGAGAAGTAGAAAACTATGACAATCAAGGAGGCCATAAAGGCGCCCTACAATTGTAGGGACGACTGACGATACGGGCCTTAGTGCTAATATGCTCTAGCTTGAAAAGAAAGCCCTTGCGGACCTATGTTCATATGGAAATTTCGTATTCTAATTGACCAAGGATTTGATGGTTGAAGTTTGTCTACATACTTTATTAACACCCTGTATGGTAAAATTTGTTACAATTTAGCACAAACCTAATTATCTCTAAATTGTCTAGGCTATCATAATAATTAGCCTTTTATTTTATACAATTTTACTGTAACATATACCCTAAACACCATTTTTCTCCATCAACAAAATGTTATCTGACCCAACAGAAAAATCAGAATCGTAGCAGTATTAATACTTAACTAAAATACACGTTGAATAACTTCGTGCGAAGAATATAGTAATTTTAAAGGAAATGTTCAAAAATCAAAATGGTCGCGAAGCGTCGGTTGAATGCAGGAATGGCGGTAGAGTAGTATGTAGATATTTATAGGTTCAGGCACTGATATTACATGATGCGAAGTAAATATACGGAGTATACAATATCCCAAGGAGTATTTTTTACGTGTAGTTACCAAAAATCGCTGTGTAGAACGTCAGATATTCGTAGAAACAAACGTCGATGCGGCTACCGCATATAGCCAAAACAAACGAGTGGGAACGAGGTGGATCGAGGGTTGCAGGGGAAGGGAACGCAGCACAGAACATGGATACAATTGACACTCTTGACAGCACAAGTTGACTGTTGTCGAAACGAAGAGATGGTGAAGTGGAGGGGGTATAAAACATACACAGCACAGGCACGGAGGTCAACGTTGCCGGATCTACCAATTTTTCAAGAAGTGGAAGTAACAGTGTAAGAAAAAATGAATTTTTTATATATAGTTAGCTTGGTAGATTCTATGTATAAGGAACACTCTAAGTTAAAAAGAAAAAAATACAACATAAAACTGACAAAATGCAAAAAAAGAGAGTAAGTACAACAACAGCATACGAATGTCTGATATTAAGGGCAAAACAGTATGGCAGATAGTAAATGAATTAAAATGGGTCAGGCAATTTTTAAGCAACAGATAGAATCAGATGAGCTTGATTTGAATCTCGTAGCAGATAAATTCAACAAATTCTTAGTGAGATCAATTGAGAACTTAATTCGCAACAATAGTCCTGTTTGTGGATGCATTCTTAAACGAATTTTATTTTTGATGTGTGTCAGGCCTGTAAAGAGTAGTGGTGAAGATGAAATATCCAGCATAATAATAAAAAATTGCATTGATTACATTGTACATAGATCCATTGGTATTTATTATCAATAATTCGTTGAAATATGGTATTTATCCTGATCAGTTAAAAACAGCAGGGATGGTAATGAATAACAAAATATTGTATTTTTTAACTCTAAATGACCTGATAAACGAAACTCTTCAGAATATTATAGTAGACTTGGACGACAATAAGAGTGTACTGGGTATCTTTCTTGACCTTACTAAAGCGTATGACTGCCTAGATCACAATTTATTATTGCAAAAATTAGAGGATCAGGACTTTCTTGGATACAATCATACCTCAGCAATTGTAAGCAAAAAGTAAAATTGTTGGGACGTAATGGAACAGCTTTGTCGAATGAGCTTAATGTTAAAACAGGGGTGCCTCGGGGCAGTACTTTAGGTCAAACATTGTTTTGTAATTTTTTTAAATGACATCGATACCTGAATCAAACCTGATGTATGCAAAATCACGAAGTAGTAGTCCTAGCATGTGATGAGGAGGGATATAATATAGACATAAGCTAATTCTTAATAAAACAGACTTGTGCGATGTTTTTTCGAACTACACACTGTAGAGCAAATTTTCAAAATTCATACTTAAAGCGTCCACTCAGGCAGCAGTCGAGTACACGAGGACGTAGGTTTGGATTGCCTACAATTATGTACGCACATCTTTTATTCCACTTTCCCTATATTGGTTTTTATGCATACAAAAGGTACAGACTGGTAGATATTAGCGTCATTACCGCCTCACCGGACAAACACTAAGGAAACCGAAGCTCGTCTGTATTTAAGTTAGTATTAAATTATCATGTCAGATGGTGTGGCTTCAGGAGTAAAATAGGAAAATGTTCAAAATCTTTCAAACAAGAATGGTAAAATGAGTTTCAATGATAGTTACAAAGCAGTTTGAAGAGCGACCAGTATGCTCACTGTACAGGTTGTACCTAATAAAGAACTTTAATACTGTGTGTGTGGGCGCAATACAAAAATATACATTTTTTCATAGAGGGAGCTACTTAACGTAAAATCCCTTGATCTAACGCTGATCTTGTGACAATCTCGATTTCGTCTTTGAATATATGTATGTATACCGAAATTGAAGGACCCTGTCTACGGATTTCGTCTTTTTCGGTTCGGCAACACTGATGGAGGGCATCCATAAAACCCGAAACAAGGAAATGGGGCGTTACCGAACAAGCCAATCTTCATAGAACAAAATTTTTGCGTAGTCCAATGCACATGCGCGCTTCCCCCGACAGGAGCTTAAGGCCGGTCTACATTTGGCAAGTGAATATCTCAAGAAATGCACAATGTTTTGTGAATGTACATAGTACATACCATCAGTAACCATTCCATTTTGATTTTCTTTTGCAATTGCCAGCTGGCATTAATATTTATTTCTATTTTAATAAATCTCTTCATAAATGAGTTGAAATATAAGCCAAATATTCTCGAATCAGTTTATTTTGATTTTCTAGAATTCCACATTTTTCTAAAAACCTAATCTAAATATAAAATACAAATATAGTTAACATAACAAACCTGTATCTCCAGATTTACGCCATCATAAGTCAAAAAACAGGTAATATTTCAAGGTCATAATGGTCAATTTAGTACATGAAATTCTTATGAATGCATAAAAAATAACCACCTCAGAAAGTTGATAAGATTTCATACCTTATTTACATAAAAGTATAAGTACAAATTTATTTTACAATGTTTAAAATATATTCCAAGACATTTACATACATATATACTGTTGCAGCTTTTCATAAGGATCTTCATTCCAACCATCCACATTAGCATTCTTTACAAATACAGAAAACAATCAAATTTAAAAAAATTAATACAGTAAAAGGTAATATAAAATTTAAGTCAAATACATCAAGACGGTGACGTCATAGAAGGTTGTTATTATTTGTTTCCACTTCGGCCAAAAGCTGACCGACTATGAAATTTCACCAAGCTTACTCCGAGGTTATAGGTACATTCTATACAAATGATTTAATACCTATGAGGTTACCGTCTTACCAAGACTTTTTGACGATATAATAAACCACCTTATAATTACAAGTCAAAAATACATAAATACCATGGGATAATACTGTAATGTCATGATTATTGGAAGGCTAATGCATTAAGAGGGTTTTGAAAACGAACATTTTCATTTTGACTCGCCAGGCTTGGTCCTTTCCGACTTATATGTATATGTGAATTCATTGCTAGTTTTGGTATTATTTTTTGTCAATACATGCAAGTGCTGCCTTCAAATAATTAATTTTTGCGACTATTTTGTCAATACCCGTTAGAACAATAGTGTGTTCAACGCTAGCCCCCATCTTAGCAATCACTGAATTTTCTCCTGTGAAGCCCAGCAATTTATTGGGATCCATGTGGTCTTCTAAATAGTCTCCTTCACCCTTTAAGCTGACCAAAAAGTCTTTAACAGACTTGTGGCCATGCTTTTGAGCCAATGGTGCTAAAATACCGGTCGGGCGCTTGCCCTCGCGTGCTCGGCAGAAGGAACAGTTGCATATTCCTCTACAGACTGGACAATGCCAGTTTGGATCTAGCAGGGCTTGTGCGGCATCTTCACCATATCTGCAGATGTAAAGAAAAAAATGATTGCTTTTACCGTACACGGTGATTCCCGTATAACCACGCCTGAAACACTAAACACTTTAAAAATACTACGCTTTAAAACATATTTTTCTTTTCGTTATAATTCGAGGAATATATTTATATACTGAGAACCAAATTTGTCTGACGGCTTGAGTTTAATGTCTACGAGAGAGAAGTGCGATAAGTGTGTATGTTAGAAAGAGATAGAAGCCGGCTGAATAGCGAATCTCATCACCGCGTTGCCTACCAAAGGTGATGCAGAAGGTCGTACAATCTGCCGCGTTGCCAATATGTTACTTCAGAGAATGTTCGCACAGGGGTGCGTTTATAAATCACTTGACCGTACACAGTAATGGAATGTAGATTGAAAAATGAAATTTTAATCTGGAATACTGTGAAACTTTATTTTTAGTACAGTCATGATGACAGCTGACTAATTTCTAACCACGTTTTTTGTGACCATTGTAGATATTATAAGAGACCCTAGGGATACAAGATAGCATTTATAATGAAAAATATATATTCTGCCAATTTTGAGCAGTTGTTGATAACCAAATGAAATAAACAATCAACCATGAGAATGACAAGTGACATAACTCTTATTCCCAATGTTTTGAGCTCGAGAAGAAAAGCTCACTTTTGACGTTATTAAAGGGTTAAAAGATTCTTTCCATAACTTTTATTCTATTGATGAAGATTTTTAGAACTCCCCATATTCTTAAAAAAAATATTTTAAATTATTCCTACCTGTTCTTAAGGCAAACACCACAAAACATTCCCCGGCGGCCTGAACATTCACTGTTTCTACAATATGTCTTTTGATCAACTGTTTTTTGTCTACACTGATGACAGGTAGTACCTGAATCAGAATATTTTTTGATAGATACTTTTTCTGCTATATTGTTTAGCATTGTTTCTGTAATATGTTCTACTGGGATTGTAACAGGTCCCTCCCTTCTAACTTTAAAAGATGTCCGCTGTTTCTTTGGCTGATAAACTATGTTTTCAATATCTTCATAGTCATAGTTTTCATCAGATTTGAATAAATGTCTTACAGTCTTTTCCTCTGGTAAATCATCGAATGTGAATAATGGTTTTTTATCTTGTAGTCTCAATGACCTGAAAATATAACAAACAGTAAATATCATAGGTTTTATCTATTGAATCAATATGTTTTGATAAATTATAAATCTGACCTTTACTAAGCTTGGAGCTAATTCTTTCCCTCAATACTCTGGGAAGATACACCAGAAAAATGGAAAACCCAGTTTCAAACAAAAATTGGATGAGGTTGAATCACTATTCAATATTCAACCTCTGGACAGTAAAAAGAAATTACTAGGACAACAAAAAACAAATTCCAAACGAGAGATAATCGAACAAAGAAGTTGCAGATAAAAACGTAAAAAAAAAATGCTCAACAAAATTTATGGATTTTCAACTACACTATGAAACAAAATCCACAATCACTAAGCATGGATAATGAATTTGATAGTTAAGAGCAGAAAGTGCTACTTTGCTGCTTGGGAAATAATCATTCGCGCGAAGCGAAGCGGAATGCTGCCATGATTTGTGAGCAGTGCAAGAAGCTTGCGCTCAAATTGCATGCAAGATTTTATCTACAACCTTTTCCTATGCGACATGTACGATTTATAAAAAACGACGCTTGCGAGTATACACATTATTGTATCGTATTATGATGACATATCTGGCAACAAGAAGAACTCTAATATCATCATGTCATTTATTATCAATCCTCTGAAAACAATAACCTTGCATGACATGAAACATAAATTAACATGAAGTACCTATGTTCTTGAAGATAATAAAAAAGCTGATGTACTGCCGGTGTACAATAATGCTCCGCAAAGTTCTATACTTGGTCCATTGCTATTTCTACTGTAGACATTCAATCTGAGCGATATTGCTCGTGGATGTAAAATTCTACAATAATATGCTGATGACAATGAGATTTACCTCAGTCATGACAATGAGATTTACCTCAGTCAAGTATACCTTCTTCCAAGAAAAACTGCAAAACTGTATTAATAAGTTAACCAATTATCTTACAGTGGATGTCTTGAAATTAAACGCTGACAAGACACATGGTACTTTTTTGTACCTCATCATATTACTTGAACTTGCATCTAAATGTCACAGTAAATGGATCATGTATAGCTTATATAAAAGTAAAAGATTCAGGACTCTGGATGGGATAATGCACTGCATTTTAGAAACCATGCCGAGTGCACATAAAACACATCATCAATGTGGGAAATTCAGAGTTGCAAGTATTCTCCTACATAAGAAAAAGTGTAAGAAATATTTATTACAGGAACTGTGCAAGCAAACATAGTGAAATGTAAATATTTATGCTATAATAATCGTTCTAATCCTATTAAGAACTCTTAACTTTTTGAACTTTTTTTTATTTGTACTAGTCTATTTCAATTAAGTTGGTATGTTGGTATGTATGTATGTAATTATTAAGGTCCTCAGTTAAGTTAATGAGCACAGCTGTGTGTGAAGTTTGCAACCATATCCAGCAATCAAAATGGTTGGAGACGATTTAAAAGTCACCAAAATTATATATGAAAACAATCCCAATGTCTTGGAATATATAATAAACTATAGGTACACAATGATGACCACTGCTTCTGGCAAAGTTGCTACTTCTTCTCTGGTTATGGCTTTTGTGCCTCTTCTATTCGTCAATGTTTATCAGAGCAATCCGTAGGACCTTTGCTCTTGGTTAAAGTCTTGTAAGTCAGTAGATATGTCAGGTCTGGTTGCCCAGATACCAGACAAAGTCAGGGAGAAAGAAGGGAAGAAGAAAGGGAAGGAGGGAGAGCAAAGAAAAAAGAAGTGCGTAAATTTAATCACAGTGCGAGTCGCGGCCTTGTGTGCTTGCGAACTTTCTCGACTGTGTAGTCTATGCGATTCTGCTTGACTATAACGTAGCTGCGCTTGTTGTTTGACGTAGTCCCTTATGTGAGGAATATTAAGGTCTCTGTGAACCTGCAGGCTACACAAATGCGTTTTGGAGATAAAACACCAAGCCACACTTGCGTAAGTGATCGCTGGTCTAATAACCAACTTGTATAGCCAAACTTTGTTAATCAAATTTAATTATGATGTTCTGCATAGCACAGGGTAGAGTTAACAAACAAGATTTGGAATTTAGTTTTTGACCCATCTTGTGCTGTTGCCATGTCATCCCCTTGTCAAGAGTGTCATCGAGATACTTAGCAGAACTTTCCCATGGTACCTGAGCTCCATTCACTGAAACCTCAGATGGGGCGCTACTACGTTTTTTAGTACAATAGATAGCATGCAGGCTTTTGTGCTACAACCCAATCAGCCAGCTCATTCCCATGTTCCTGGGCTTAATATATTTTTTTTTGTAGCATGCATGCATTGTGCTTGATTCAAGACTTCAAAGAAAAATGATTCTCTCACCTCCGAGATTCTAGAGGAATTTGAGCTGCACATCTGAATGATTCATCTTCAGATTTATGACGCTTACGTTTATATTGAGTTTTTGGCTTGTCCTGTACTATTTTAGTACTATCATTTGCAAATATTTTCCTCATATCAGCAAACTCAGGATCTTTTATTAATTTTTCCAAAAATTCATTTCTTTCCTTAAGCATTATCTCTCGCTTCTGTTCTTCTTCATTCAGTATGTCATCATCTTCTATCTCTGCCATCTCTGATGATGTGATGATTGGCATTGTGTTGAAAAAGAAGTTAAAGCTGTACTTCTGAAAATATATTATTTACAACTGCTGATGTCTGAAAGGCACAAAATCATTTTTCTTTTCCTTTCAAATCAACAGACTTTCTCATAGTTTTAATTAATTTCCCTTAAAAAAAATATATACCGACTTTACAAAAAAACTTTCAGTTACAGATTATTAAATATACTCTAGAATTCACAATCTTCTCAAAAATATCCCTCACCAAGACCAAGCACACAATTTCCGCATAAAAAATACTTGCTGTGGACCAAATTTTATGTGCTCCTATTTAATAAAAAATAAATACTTTTTTAAAACATTTTTGCCTAAAGGTTAGGAGGACCCCGTCATCCTTCCCGCGTTTTTTGCTCTGCCAACAGCGCCAACGGTGATGGTGTGACCAAGGGAATCTATGCCAAGGGTGGCCGTGAAAGCTTGTTTTGTTCTAGTATTCATGACCACCATCTTTGTTCCTACATGTTGTCTACGAAAGTTGCATAAGCTTCTGTTTGAAAATAAGTATACAGGGTGTTTGGTACATGAGCCAACAAAAATTTTTGGGCGATTGGGGAGGCTATTTGATGATTTTAATGGAAACCGCCGATTTATTGCCTTTCCAACGATATAATAATAATAATAATAATAATAATAATAATAATAATAATAATAATAATAATAATAATAATATGCATTTTATTTTCCTGCTGAGGATTCAGCTAGCAGCTGTTCTTACTCCCTAACCAGGGCACCAATTGCTTACAAACATCTTTACAATAAAATCATTAATAAATTTAATAATTGATAAGAGATTAGGTAAAAAGTCTGATTAAACTTATATAGATAGGTCGTGATTAAATATGAGCTCAATGATTTGTCCTTTAAATCTACTAAGTGGTAGTTGCTTGGCTGAATGTGGTATTTTATTATACAATGCAGCTCCTATATAAGAAAACGATTTTTTGAAATTAGTTGTTTTGTGAACAGGTATATTTAGTGTATGATCGACAAATCTGAGATTGGCTTTAGGATGTTAATTATGCATTGACAATTTATCTTTTAAGTAGGTTTTTTACAAAGAACGGAATACACCAAACAGCACAAATGTACTATCCACCTTTTTCTCATAGTTCATATAGTGATATACTTTCTCGTCGGAGATACGCTACACATCATTTTGTGTCATTATCTCTGGAAACAATAAAGTTATAACGATATTTATACGCAACTTTAGGTAATTCAGCAAAAAAAACGAAAAGCGATCATATCTCGGTAACCGTAGCTCTTAGACCTTAGAGCAAAGCGGTTTCGATCAAAAATCATCAAATAGCGTCCCCAATCGCCCAAATTTTGTTTTGTTCATGTATAAAAGCAAATCGTAGTGTTTCAAAACGAATAAACGTTTTGCGAGGCCATGTTTGTTCCACTCTGACCGATAATGCAGTTTGAGAGTAAATACACAAAAGGTTATAGCGGGATAGCGGCTGCAGCAAGTGCAATCCTTGACTTAGGCCGCCTTACACGTATTGTTTTTACGACAGTTTTGGCGCGTACGCGCCATTCCACTAGGTCAAACACTTCCGGGTAAATGCTCGGTCGCTGGTCCGTAGACCGCCAGAACGATACGCAGACGTGGAGCCCGGCAGTTGGGTTTCCGGTGGATTCTCTGTTGAAATTTGAAATAGTATAATGGCGTTTACGAGGGACAACTTAGAAAAATTTATTGATATATATATAGAGACCGTTCTACCTTCGCGTCACTTTTTTACACTAAACCTTCTTTTATTTTGGTTTCCGTGATAAAATATACTTATATTGAAGCACAAGCTAACGTTTGGTGTCTTAACTTTTTTCTTAAATATGTTGTTGAAAATGGCGCATCGCGCTGGAGTCATCAGCCATTCAGAAATCCAACGCGCCACTCCAAAACTGTGTTTAGACGTACGGTTTTGGCATATACGCTCTAATCGCACAGAGTTGGAGCGCGCTCCAGAAACGTCTTATGCAACGCTCCAAGCACGCACGCCACTCTAAACGCGCCAGCACCACGCACCAGACGACACTCCAAAACCGACAGATTAGAACGTACGTTTAAAGCGGCCTATTGACTCCATAAGTTTTTAACCATTATTCATAAGAATTTATGATCTGTTTCGGAACACGTCTTGTGAACAAATTGTTTGTTGTGCAAGGTTCGAAAATAGAGTGCAAAATATTATTTTTAAGGCGTTTAACTTTATCTCAAACTTTGTCAGTCAAACGCACAATTAACGTTGATGGAAAAGTTTTACTAAATATCTACAATGTAGAACATAATGTCCTACAACTTGTCACCTAGTTTACGGCACAAAACATATACACGGCTTAAGGCACGGCTTAAGGTCTAAATACGACTTTAGAATAGAGATGGAAGGAAACATATTTTTAACAGTGACTACCAAGTGACTACCAATCGGTGATAAAATCTTGTGATTAGTCACTGGTTAGTATTCCTTTCCCTCCACGGCTACCATTCTATCGTCCTATCTTTCGTTCTGTGCAGTATGTGGAGCTCCGTGCTCCGTGTGTTCAGTGATTGAACCACAACCCAGTGACCACAACAGAATTGAACTTTGACGGTGCCTTGAGCCTTGACGTGTTGATGTGGTGTTGATATGTAATGTTTTGTCACGTTTTGTGGTGTTGACGATGTGAGATTTGTGTTCGAGATTGTAATGGGTCTTATAAGAATAGTTTTAGTAAAGAAGAAATAGCACTATATTAACATACAATAATAGCTATGCAAATCGAGTATCTTTCTTCTATCACAGAGTGGTGATGCCGTCATAAAAGAACACCTAGAATCTCCAAGTGTGCAATAAAAGCTACTGCAAAAATGAGTGCAATATTGAAACATTTCAACTACATTGGCTGTTATAGATTACTAATAATATTTCTCGCACTATGGCTAATCGTTTTAGCCATATCGGTATTTCCTATGTTGAGTCGAACTCCTCCTCCAGAAGGAGAAACTAAAGTTGCTGAAAGACTGTCAAGGGCTCTGCTAGATTTGGAGGCACTTCGGAGGCAAAATGATGAGTTACAAGAGATCTTCAAAGACATAAGTGTTAATAATTTGAACGAGAATCAAAAGGAAGTGATGGAAAATTTCCAGGTAACTAATTTTAGCTTGCTGATTTGATAGAATTGCTATGTTGTATGAATTAAGTAATCAAGTGTGTGTAAGTAGATGGAAAACTGATGATTGCCTCATACTAGCTAAACAAGAGCTTGACCAATACATTTTTAATTGGAGCTATTTTTGGATAGGTATAGTAGTTTTACAAAACTTTTTATGAAGACAAAATTTTCTTCTAAAGCATTTGAATCAGTTTCCAGCAAGGCTCTTGCTAAGGCTCCTATTTATTCTTATGTAAACATACATTGATAGTTCCATGAGTGCTCATAAGGGGACATATTATGCCCTATCCTAGCTTCCCCCTGAGTAGTAAAATATTCTTAAAGGAGTAGGTACCTGCTTTTTTTGAGAGTGTATTTTTTCATCCCCACATAGATATTAATTTTTCTCTTACCACTTTAAACAGCTAGAAACTCTGCTTCAAACTGACTGACTGAACCTGTAAGCCTAACCTGCACTGCCTCTGAATAATGTTATATGGTTGCCCATGTATAGTTCCACCATAACTCAATTAGTTTTTTAAATATAATAAAGTATCTTGGGCATATGAAAGAGGGCTTAATGGAAACATACTTTAATTTTTTTGTCCTTTCAGAAAAAAATATTCATGTGTTATGCAAAAAATTGCTGTTGCATGATAACATATTTGTTTTTTGAAATAAAAATAAATCTGAAAATATCTTGGAAAATAGGTTAATGCAGAGGACTTGTATGATATTCAATTGTCTTTGAATAGCTGATAATGAATGTATATAAAATTAAATAATTATATCATATTTATTTGTTTTGGTAGTGTTAATATATTATTTTTAAATAGTCCAGATATGAGGCTGCAGACTTCCATACATATATTTGTGCACTTTAAGGCTCCACCAGCTACAGGTTATGAAACACAGCATTAAGAAAAATATTAACCCTTGTTTTTTTTAAATATAAACTATCTCAAAGCCAGGATTATATCTGCTTAAAAAGTTGCTTGTCAAATCTTGCATCCTGCTACACACTGCTTTCAGAATAATTATATTATTAATCAAAAAAACAATGAGCTATCTTTGAATGATTATTTCAATTTTACTATTGTATTTTGATTTATGAACAGGAAACAGTGTATTGAATTTCTAGCCATAATACCCAATATCTCAACAAGTCTTCAATAAATGAACAGTGAAATCGCCTTTGGACGGACACCAATGGGACCAACTAAAAGTATCTATTCAAGAGAGGTGTATGTATAAAAGAAATACAACAAAAATCATGATTTTAATAAAAATCAAATATATCAAGGAAACTGATTTTCGACAAAACTTTTGAGCTGCTTGGTCAGGGTAATAACTTTATCATAATCTGGAATACAACCTCATCGACATCAGAATCTTCTTCTTGTATTTCAACTGGATTTTCAATTTCTTGACCTGAATCTGGATCTTCAAAATACAAACCTTCAACTAGGTTGAAAAAATCATAAAGGTTTCCATTATCAGTAAATTTCAAAACCCTATTTTTGAGGATATCTGAAAGTACATTAAGTGAATTAGAATACTTTCATGCTGAAAGCCTGCTTTGTGGAAGCAATTTTGCACTGTTCCTTTGGTTATTAGCTCTCAAGCGGTTTTTGCTAAATATACTGCATCCAATTTTCTTTATTAACTGTTTGAGTATTAGACTTTGGTAATAAGTTTTAAAACTCTGTATAATGCTTTGGTCAAGTGGTTGACAAGCTGATATACAATTAGGGGCAAAAATAAGATTTTTATATGAATTAAGCGAATGTCTTTTGGATGAGCTCCCACATTGTCTAAAAATAACAAAATGTTTCTTTTTTCTTTAGCCATTTTCCAATTTTGAAACCACTCTATTATAATGTCGAGCCATTTCTACAATGAATGTGTTGCCCACTGTGTCTTTTCCGCATAGACGTCAGACTAATACTGAATGGAAATTTAATCGAAAGCGTGTACCGTGTACCCAAAGAATAAGAACGGTAAATCCCCGACCAACTCGGGGAAGTCCCTAATTCATGCCGGGCAGAAATGGACCACATAGGCTGCGTTTGTACCGAAAGATTAAAGTCGGTGAATCCCGGGTTTACTCGAGAAGTCCCAGCGAAGATGGCGCGCTGCACGATTGAGATATGCAATAGCGATACTCACATCAGAAAAAATAAGACAAGGCGTTTCTTTTTTTTTTTTTGTTCGGTTAGGAGAACATTTTCTAGTGTCCGCGTCCGTTCAAGAGAATGTCCGTTCAAAAGAGAGTTAATACAATGAAAATTATATAAGAGTCGCTCGACACCTTCAGAAACTGTCTGTTGAAAGGAGGTGTCCGTGTAAGAGAGGTGTCCGCGAAGGGGAATTTCACTGTACCGTGAAATTGTTATGAAGACATGTTTGATTACCCCTTGTTATAAGAATGGATACTTTCCAGACCTATGTTGAATTAGGTTTTAAATCTGTCCGTGAATTTGTCTCATTTTGTGTTTGTCATTCTGGATTTGCACAGAGCTTTATTATACTGCCAGCTTCAGATAGTCTAATGGCACTAAAAATTATGATTTTTTAAATATTTAGAATGGCTAATTTGTGTCTAATACAATTACATATACAATCAATACAATATGAGGGATGTCTTTTAAGTTCTGCATATAGAAACATAGTAGACCGCGCGGATCAGTACTGAATCTTAACCTCACTCTTTAGTAAACTTAAATTCAAAGTTTCCCAACAATACGTGCAGTGTTCTCACTATAGTGAATTTTTAAGTGTCACCAAGTCATTAGAAGGATGGAACTCAATCGAGAACATTTTCGCGCAATAATTTCTTACAACTTTCAGAGGCAATTATCGCAACAAGAATGCCTTGCTGAGTTACTGTCTGTTTTCGGCAATGAAGCGCCACATCAGTCGACAATTTCCCGTTGCTATGGAGAATTCATACGTGGACGGGTAAGTCTTAGCGATGATCCCAGGGGGTGCACAAAAACGGCAGTCACCCAGGAAAACGTCGATGCTGTGCGCAAACTCATCATTGAAGATAGACATGTGACATATCGCGAGATTGACGCGAAGAATTAGGAGTAAGAAAATTAGTTTCTCGTTGGATTACCCCACCTGTTGACTGAAGAGCAGAAAGCAGCCAGGGTTAATTGGTGTCAAAAAACGCTGGACCGTTTCAATTCCGGAAACTTAAAGAATGTGTACAGCATTGTTAGTGGTGATGAATCGTGGATTTACTGTTATGAACTAGAAAATAAACGACAGTGGGCTGTTTGGGTGTTCCAAGGTGAAGAAAAGCCAACAAAAGTCATCCGTTCTCGAAGTGTTTCGAAAAAGATGGTCGCGACATTTGTGTCAAAAGCGGGTCATATTGCAACCATTACTCTTAATGAGCAAAGAACTGTTACTGCGGATTGGTATACCACCATTTGTTTGTCAAAAGTCATCACCGTGCTTCGAAAAATCAACCCCGAGAGAAGAATCATCCTCCACCAAGACAATGCAAGCTCGCACACAGCCCAAAAAACAAGGCAGTATTTAACGGAAGAAAACGTGGAATTTTTGGACTATCCTCCATATAGTCCCGATCTAAGTCCTAACGATTTCTTCACTTTCCCGAAAATTAAAAACAGACTACGTGGTCAAAGGTTCCAGTCACCAGAAGAAGCAGTTGACGCATTCAAAAGGCCGTTTTGGATCTGCCAGCAAATGAGTGGAATAAGTGCTTCGAAAATTGGTTCGAGCGCATGCAGATGTGTATTAATCTTCATGGAGAATACTTCGAAAAACAATAAAGTCATTTAAAACTATCTACCGTGTTGTTCTATTTCCATATGCAAAACTTAAAAGACATCACTCGTACAGTCATATGGCATATTATGTCAATTTTAGTTTTAGTCCAGCACCAAAATCTGAATACTAAATTATGATTTAACTGCAAAGTGCCTTGGAAGCCATTACCGTATCAGAACCACCCCACATGATTCTAACTTGTTTCCACAAGGATTTCAACACAATGATTCACTGTTTTATAATCAGTTGCAAAATGGTTTAAGACTGTCAAGTTTCCATAAATATACTAAAACCATGCTGCTAAATCGTCCTGAACTTACTATAGATGTAGAATGTATCATAATTTTTTTTAATTGGGTAATTTTTTTATTATTCTTATTATTTTGTTCAACTGACCTAAATAGTGAAGTGTCAGATTAGTCTTGGGTAAGTTTCGCTTCTCATGTCCCTCTTTGTATTTGGAATAATCACATCATTGTTATTGTTAATTGAAAGATAGTAAAAAGTGAGATGGAAAGCAGACTTAATGACTTCAACTAAGAGACTTTTTTTAATGCCCTCAGCTATTTTAATGTACTCTTAGTTAAAATTCCATAATATTTGCCAGCACCATCAATATTTCAGTTTTGGATACACTTCTGTATTATTTTTGTTTCTCGCCTTTCAGATGCGGTTGACAAAAGCTGATCACCTGAACAATAAACAGAATCTAGGATATATAACGCAAAAGGAGGAACCAAATACTCAATATGAAATACTCAGACGTAGAATTTTTGCAAACACAAAAGAAATGTGGTACTTTATCAATTCTAGCCTCAAAGATTTGAAAAACAAAGCGAATGGAATAGCCCCAGAGCTCATTGATTCTATAAATTATATCCTCAATATGGGTGTAGAACATCACAGATCTTTATTGTTTGATATTGAGCAATTAGAGGCCGTAGATGGATATTCAGTTTGGCGGGAAAAAGAATCTGCTGATTTAAGTAACCTTATCCAGGAGAGGTTCAAATATCTTCAAAATCCAGAGAACTGTAAAACAGCTCGCAAACTTGTATGCAGTTTGAATAAGGGTTGCGGCTATGGTTGTCAGTTACATCATGCAGTATATTGCTTTATGGTAGCATATGGCACACAGAGAACTCTAATATTGAAATCAAAAGGTTGGAGATATCATAAAGCTGGATGGGAAGAGGTTTTTAAGCCTGTGAGCGATACATGCACAAGCATAGAAGGAGAAAGTTTCTCCAACTGGCCTGGCCATGAAGACACGCAGGTTATAAACTTACCCATAATAGATTCATTATCTCCTAGGTCTCCGTTTTTGCCATTAGCCATACCAGAGGACTTGGCTCCAAGATTGACTCGGCTGCATGGCGATCCAATAGTTTGGTGGGTTGGACAGATTTTGAAATATCTCTTACGGCCTCAAGAAAAGACCACAGCAATGGTTCAAGAAGCCATGACAAAAATGGGCTTTAAAAGACCCATTGTTGGCGTGCACGTTCGCAGGACGGACAAAGTAGGAACTGAAGCAGCTTTCCACGGTTTAGAAGAATACATGTCGCATGTAGATGAGTACTATAATAATTTAGAGATGAAACAAGTTGTAGATAAACGTAGAATATACTTAGCTTCTGACGATCCCAAGGTGTTGTTAGAGGCCAAGAAAAAATATCCTCATTATGAGATTATAGGAGACCCATCAATTTCTAAGACTGCCTCTGTGTCAACTAGATATTCAGATAGTTCATTATTTGGTATAATCCTCGACATACATATGCTTTCAATGTCAGATTACTTAGTATGTACATTTTCTTCTCAAGTGTGCCGAGTTGCATATGAAATAATGCAGATCTATTACCCTGACGCTTCAGCAAAGTTCAGATCTTTGGATGATATCTACTATTACGGCGGGCAGAATGCTCACAATGTGGTTGCTGTCTGGCCACATGAACCGAAAAAGAATGGCGAGATGCATATTGCTGTAGGGGATCTGATTGGAGTTGCTGGAAATCACTGGAATGGATTTAGCAAAGGACGGAATGTCAGAACAAACCAGATTGGTTTTTATCCAGCTTTCAAGGTCAAAGATAAAGTACAAACGGCCAAGTTTCCAACATATGCTGAAATGTACAAAAGAGAGCACAAAGATGAAAATTAGATATGTGAGTACATATTCTTCTATCCACACAAAATATGCCAACAATTCATTGAAAAATAGTGTTTCTTAACATATTTTTACGTTTTCGAATGTGAAAGCTGCTTTCTGATCAGTTATCATCAGTCATTTATTTTGTCTACTGTGTCTCTCAATTAGAATTTTTACAGCTTGTTGCCTATACTAATTTCTCGTTCAAAACTGGGCCTGTCAAATTCTAGTCTGAAAGAAATACTCCCACGTTACATCAGACGCCATGAAATTATAATAGTAGAATCATATATACACTTGTGCATATGTTTATCTTATAAAGACGCAAATTGCGATTTTTCAACCTCTGCAATTATATAAGCTTTTCATAGCACTTGTATAGATAAAAGAGTAATCAAATTTTATGAACCTTTGAACAAATTATGTACAATTGTAAAGCGTATTATTTCTTTCCAGGTATTTAGCGGATGTAGATGAGATCATGATTTGACTGCATTTATTTTATGGAATTAGCAATATTGAGAACATATGCTGATATGGTACTTCAGTTAGGGTTGTCACTAATTTAACCCAAACCATCACTATTATGAGGTGTTTAATTATCCACTACCAATTTTAAGATTAAGCATCGTAAATTACGATCTACTATAAAGATATAAGTTGAATAAATATATTAGATATATTCAGAAGATAAAATATTCAACGATTATGTAATAATTGTATGTAATTTGAATATTAGTTATTGCCTATACAGGGTGTTTCAAATTCGACCCTCTCCATTGGGATTTCGGTAACTGTAAGAGATACGAAGTCGCTTAAATGGGGACAAAGTTGCATATTTAGGTGATCAACAAAATGCTGCTTAGAAAGTTTTGAAATTGAAAATACTTCCTAAACAGAATTCTCCCAAAGTCGTTTTAATTTTTCCTGACTTTATTTGTGGTGGAATTTTAAAATAGCTTGCACTGCCACTTTTTCTGCTCTACACATTTGAATAGAGTTTTTACTTCTGATTCTAAAAATGTATAATACGTCATGTCGTATGACATATTATCTGCGTAAAAATCAAACATGGCGTCCATAAGAAAAAATAAACTTATTTTGGAATTCTAAGTATCCCATCTTGTAGAGTAGAAAAAGTGGCAATGTTAATGTGTATTTTATATTGAAATCCCACTACAAATAAAGCCAGGAAAATATTAAAATCATTCTGGGAAAATTCGGTTTTTTCCGTCTCTCTCCAGAAGTACTTTGAATTTCCAAATTTTCTAAGCGTCATTTTGTTGAGTACTTAAATTCGCAACTTTGCCCTCATTTAAGCGACTTCCTATCTCTTACAGTTTCCGAGATCTCCATGGAGAGGGTCGAATTTGAAACACCCTGTATATTATTTCTTCTAACTCATCCCACATTACTATGAAATTTGTTATGTGCTTAGTTGGATAAACTTGAAATATTATGACAAGAACCAGCTTAAAAACCACGTGTTCATTCATTTTATTTTAAAATTGAGTAGACATAAAACATGCCGGTAGAAGTACTGGATGACAGAGTTAATTAAACATAAAGTTCAGGTAAACTTACGCATTTATGTAATGTCATTTTCTAAAGATTATTTGACAGATTTTGTTGGAACTATACTATTACTAATTTTCGTTGATTAGTATTGATTCAGTTTTATGAGGATCTGATGAATTAAGAGTAGGTACTTTCCTGGAACAAAATATCTATTTTTTTGTCTATAGGTAATTCGTATTGTAACTGGGCTAAACAGATGATTCCAACTCTTTCCTATATTAAGAAGAAACTATACAGACTTGTGTATTTGAAGGTTTCGGTTGAATGACATAGAGGGCTGAAAAAATAATTTCATACCAAATATATCGGCATCAATCCATCAGTCAATATTTTTCCTGAAAGATGCATCGCATTTATCGATAATAACTTTCAGCTTCATTTAGGATAAACGGTAATATTATAACTAGTGCAAGTTGCTACATTGGTATGATATAAAACTTTGATATTTTTACTCAAAAATCTGATCGTTTAGGCGTTTTGGAAAGATTTTTCTCTATAAAAATGACAACCCTAGTTGACTTGACTGACATTGCATTTATGTCAATTTAGACTTGCACTGAGTGTCTACAACAAATGTAAACTGTGTTTTCTGATGTGTTTCACTTTTTAATAATAATTTTGTACGAATATAAGTTCAATGAAATTGAAATGTGTTTTCTAAATGACTGCAAATGTAACAAATCACTATGATTATGCATTTTCCTGAAACATTTATAAAGATGTATGAAAATAAACAAATGAAAATCTATTTACAATAGCGAACCTAGAATAAAAAAATGGTAAAGGCGCCAACATGGATTACGTGAGTGTGGGCTCGACTTCCAAATTTCGTCTGAAACTGTAAATAGATTACTTTTATTCGATTCATCATTCACGCCAATATTCTATTATGAACAAAACCTGTTTCAGGAAAAATTTCAATTAGTTTCAAGAATAGTGAATCTCATAGTACTTTCTGTGTTTAAGTTGTAGCCAAAACTAGATGAATATCAAAGTCGAGTAGACAATACTAATCTGGAAATCAGTTAGGCTGTACTGTTGCAAATGAATTCCAGTATTTTGTTATTTACTTCAATGAAGTAATGTTATATTTGTTTCTACTTCCGTATGACCAATTTACCCTATGAATATTAGGAGATGTAGAAAACATGTATGTTTGTACAAATATGTCTAGAATACTATGTAATCTCATTTTTATATTATTAATTTAATGGAGTGTAAATATATTTTATTCAATACATAATGTTTTCCTATTTGACGGTGTTTTTGTTTCATCTGAAACATATGGAAAATACAGTAGCAAAAGCTACTACCCAGTGGGATCCTTGTGAGCAAAATACGACAATTCGGTAAGATTTCTGTGAAAGGCGATCGAAAAGTTGAATAAAAACAAACAAAGCCCATCTGTATCCGCTCTGGAAAAATATAAACAATACAGTAGTTTACTGTATGGATAAGAAAAGTAAGGTTAAATAAAATGCAACTACATAGGTATTTGTAGAAGAATATTTATTTTAATAAAATGTACTTTGTAAATACAATAGGAAAAAATAGCACCGTATTTTCAATATCTACATTGTCTGATTGCTGTAGCCCATCAAATATACAGAATCGGTAGAGAATCATTGCTGTCCCCTATTTAATGTGTACAAGTGAGATAGCGTATTTTAGAACGAGAGCGTGGATGAAACATCCACACATGTCATGGTGATGAGCAAGGGCGTACTCGGCTCAAAATGGAAGCTTCAAATAATGTTTTGGTGCAAGTTCTACAAACCATATCCACATAACTATGCTTGATAATTTTCTTTCTATTTGCATTTCATTTATACATAGTTTTCCACGATGATTTGACAATGTATATGGATATGGAAAACTAGTTGAGACATTTAAACCTGTTGTAAAAGAAATTGTACAGAAGGATTTATATATTCTTTAGAGTGAATGCAAAGGCCCCTCATGCCGAGATAAAAAATTCTGGGTAATTTTTATATCAAACTTCAAAGTCTATAGAAGAAAGTGGGAAAGGGATTAAAACACCTTCTAAATGGGTATGTCCAGTTTGATGCAACAGTCAATTGGTTTTTGCGAAAAATTGTTCATTTACAAGAATTGTGGACTACTTGGAATATACCGTTCCCTACAGGTTGATTCATACCGACAAAACATTACAAATGGAACGCCGTATCTTTTAGTATATACTAATATGCCACTTCAAAGGAAGAAGTTTTTTCGGTAATAATTTCTCTTTATCCATATTTATTCGTTGTTTGTCTACAATTACTTGAAATTTCGTCAAAGAGCCAAATGTGAAAAAGAAATTTGTTACATTTTCACCATTGTCATCTCTGAAACAGTAAGAGATACGGGTCGGTTAAATGGTGACAAAGTTGCGCATTCATATATTTTAGAAAATGCATTTGAAAAGTTTTGACGCGTCCATTATATCCAGAGATACATGGAAAAGGGAACGAATTTTTCCCAAAATTGTTTCTAAGTTTATATATTATTTGAGATAGCATTTCAAAATGAACTGCAAATTGACATTGCCACTTTTTGATCTCTGCAAGGTATCACAAAAAAAACATTGACTTTGATTTTTCTTATGTATGCCATTCTTGCATATGCGAATAGCTTTTAATGTGTTATAATTATTATAACTTTTTTTGAGTAAGTCTTGAAATTAAGCTTTAGTCATTTATATCATAGAATTGTTACATGTTACACATTGATATAAAAAACTTCGAGTGTCTAACTTCATATAGGTGGTCTAAACACATCGAATGAGGAACAACATAATGTAACTCATTTATAGATATTATTAGATATTATTTAAGGGTAATCATGAAGGCATCGAAAACAATATAATTTAAAAAAACTGAGAGCTGTAACGTCAGATCGAAATTCTAATTATGCCACCGTGTAGAAGAGAAAGTTATAATGTTACTGTGTAATTTGTTTTAAATGTGGAAGTTTTGTTTCGGACTAAAGCCAGGAAAAAATAAAAACGACTTCGGAAATACTTTGAATTTCTAAACTTGCCCTCATAAAGTACTCCTCGTCGTATATTTATGCGTCAGTAATTGTTGATGCATAATGTTAAGCAGAAATCACTGATGGTACGGACCACAATAAATAATGATCGTGCGACATTAGCTTTACCGTTTCCGCAATCCCAAATGCGATGTTCGAATTTGAAACACACGTAACATATGCTTTTAGTAATTCCTAAAAAAAATCCTAATAATTTCTCATCTAATAGATGGTTCAGGTTGTGGAGAACCCTGTACATGAATAATTTAATTTTTGTAAAACATGTTCTCTCCATTTAATTTTTGCCGAGCTAGGGAAAAGGAGGCAGCTACTCCCCTTGCCTTCCCTTGGTTGCGTCCTTGGTGACGCTTTAATCGCGCTCTCGCTCTAACATACCTACATCTCGCTTGTAAACATTAAATACACAAGGAACCTCGGCGGATCCTGTATCTATCTACAAGTACAAGATATACTGATGTTTATTAACTGGCTTTTCAAACTCATAATCGTTAAATGATCTCTGCGTAAGTAGATGGTTGGATATTTCACCATTCGCGTCTCAGAAAAATTATGCCATTTGTGCCACACGTTTTTGATGTGTGAACATGCTAGAGTTTGAAATACTTTTTGAACAGCATAAAATGGAATTATCATTATAAAAAGTTTGTCGTTCTCTCATTGATATGAAATTTTTTTGAATCGCTCATTTAGCATTATTCAAGTCGTAAAAAACTCCCTGCATCGTTGTTTTTTGTCGGAATCAGAAATGCTCATCCCAGCCACTAGTTTCATCTTCAGGAATATCGTAATCCTTCGGGTACTTCGGGAAGTTTGTTATTCCATTACTGTTGATTAAGGCTGACCTGAATGGGGATGGTATTTCACAATTTTTGAAAGTTTGCCAATCCCAGCCGGAAAACCATTTGTGGTTTTTTATGTCTTTCACACCGCCTCTTTGCATGCCCAAACGTTCTGATGGTACCGTTTTACACAACTTTTCAATCTGTAAATTAAAATGAGAATTGAGGTAGATCTTTACAACAATACGATTACAAAAATGGCGTCAAGAGGATTGGACTTTGAATATGCATCATGTGTATCTACGTCAACTTTCGCAAACTCTGGTATGGAAATAGACATGTTTGCTTTCCGCCTCGGTAACCACAACCAACCACAGACAGCGCTGTTTCGTGCTTATCAACAACTCATCAGTGCGTTAAAGGTCCAGCAATCCTGGAGGCTGATGAACGCAAAGCAAACAAGTGGGTGCAGGGCAGTGTCGGACTATCGAATTTGTCGGATTATAGATCACTGCCTAAGACCCCCTATAGTCCGGAATTTTTTACAAAAGAGTACCTTGTAATCCGACAAATTACATATCCAATGGTAAGATTATATATGTTATGTATATGCATGTACTTTGAAGTACAAATCATACATAGTTTATGTATGTCGAATTTAGTAAATTAAATAACAATAGAGAGCTTACGTTTTATTATAAAATTAAGCATAAATGCACATACATATGTACCAAAATAATCAAGAATTATTAATCAAAATCATTAATGAATTTATCAAATTATGAAGCTTGGAAATACATATTCATCAATTTTTTTTTGTTTAAGGTTGTTATAACGCAAGATCAGAGCTTTGTCCCTGAGTCTTCTCAAAAGTAAAAGTTCGTTGTAGGATGTACCATTCTCTTCAGCCCTTTGTAAACCTTGCTCAAAGGCGTTAATTGCGTCTTGTGCTGTGACTTGTGGAGCAATTGCAATCACGTCGTCGTTATTTTCCTGATTGTTGTATAATTAGAAACCTCTTTTATAATCCCTTCGTCAGACATTTCATGAAAAACATTTTCCTCTTTATCCATTCCACGGCACCAGATTTCCAAATCTTCCGGACTTATCTGTGTTTCAGTAGCGACTTGTTCTATAACTTCCGAAGTTACACTGATTTGTGGTACGTTGCTAGGAGTGGTGACTATATCTGGCCATAACTTTTTCCAAGACGATTTAATAGTTGATGACGGTAACGCATTCCTCGACTGACAAAGAGCAAAAACAAAGTCTTTCATATTAAATTCTTTTAAAGTTTTTTCTATTGGTTGGTCTTTTGATACGGCTCTCAGGAGTAGGTTTTTCTTATAGTCTTGCTTGACAAACTGAATGATGACCGGGAGCGTTATCAAGAAGCAACAACGCTTTTTGAGAAAAATTATGATATTATAACCATTTTCTAACTTCAGGTACGAAGCATTCATCAAACCACTTTTTGAAAAGGTGTTTTGTCATCCATGCACTTTTTTGTCCGTAATAGTGTACAGGTAAATCAATGTTTTTGAATGCCCGTGGTTTATTAGATTTCCGAATGACCATCATCTTAAGCGCGTGTGTGCCCGCAGCGTTAGCACATGGTAGTATGGTTACACGCTCTTTACTGACTTTTCGTCCAGGTACGGATTTTTCGTTACAAGAAACGAAAGTTTTGTTAGGCATCACACGCCAAAAAAGCCCTGATTCATCTGCATTGTACACCTGTGACGGGTCAAGATTTAAATCGTTCACCTTTTGCAAAAATCTTAATTTAAAGGGTTCTATGCAGGTGGCATCATTAGAAAGTTTCTCTCCTGTAATTGTCATTAAACGTATACCATGACGACTTTTAAAACGTTCCAGCCATCCTTTGCTGGCCACAAAATCATCTTTTTTTGATATTTCCTTATAAAAAAACTTAGCTTTCATGGCCAACATGGTGCTGAAATTGGTGCATGCCTATTTCTTTCCTGAAGAAACTACATGTACAAAGCTTCATCCTCTGGATGTTCAGCTTTCTTGAGTGTCTGTCTCTTGCCTGGCCCGCAATCAGTAGTCGACACGAACTTCTTGATCTTCTCGTGGTTTCTTTTAATGTCATAAATTGTAGATCGGCCTACGCCGTATTCACTTGTTAAACTACTGAAAGTTTCATTGCGATTTAAGCGGTCTAAAATATAACTAGGTACTATACTTAATACACAATGAATAAATAGTAAACAATGAACGCGCGCTAGGCCGTACGGCTATCACCAGTAGTCAAATTCAAACTAAGTAAAACAATGCTTACGCGTCGAGCACGATAGCGGTGGCGCGTACAAGTTGTAACCTGTTCAAACCTGCGTGATCTACATTAGCGAAGATTGTCAAATACGTATGTATGTAATATTCAAAGACATGTCGGATTACAGGGGGCGCCGGATTAGACAGGGGCCGGATTATCGGTGGTCCACTGTACTGTGTGGAGGTAGATCGGCTGACCGTTTTGGTGATGCGACATCTGTCTGTGCAATTCGCAGAAGGTCGGGTAAGTAAGAGTGTTCCGTTATCTTTCATCATACTGGATGACTTGGTAGGTGGAGGTTTCGCCTACCTCCACACAACACTCTAGTATCTTTAGTATTCGTCCCCCATGCAGAGCATTAAAGCTGGTGATATTATTTGAATGAATATACGTGAATTGTTAGTTTCAAATTTTCTAGATATTATCGTCACTGAATCTACAGTTTGCATATAACCTGGTCAACCTTGGTTCGCCCTGTTATCAATACATCGTCGTGCGTCGTCGACAACCCCGGTGACGCGGCTGGGGCATCGTCTGCATTGCTGAATTCCAGGATCGGACCCCCCGCAGCTAAAGCCTATCGCCTGGGTAGCTGCTGTTGCTGGAGTCACAGACGTAAATATGCGAAACATAATGTTCAATCTATCAGGTGGCTAATACTGTCGGAATCACAAAGTTCTGGATAATAAAACGACTAAAATGCACTCCAATCTGAGCAAGAACGAGGGAGTTGTGGCTTTTGTCCGCAGCAGTCTTTCCTGCTCCAGGCTCTGAAATCAGGCCGGAAGGACATTCTGTGACTTCGTCTCAACTCCAAAACATCCTTCAAATGTATTTGCTGCCTTTATCGATCTTCCTCGGACTATAAGTGGGACTGGCCTTTTTGATTAGGCAATTCCAATGCCCATAATGAGGTCTGGTTGTGCCCAAACAGGTCGTGCTGCTGAAGCTTTTGCTATTACCCAAGGATTGACCCAGCTGGTGACGAGCTCTACTTTTTCTCCGCGTTTCGTCACGCTCCAGTATAGGGATGCAAACTTTTTATAAATATCGATATATATCGAATTAAGTCGATTTCGATCTATCGATATATCGGTCTATTAAGCCGATATATCGATATTTCATATTTTTTTTGGAAGCTTACAGAAATTAGAAATCCAAAGCAGTTTCAGCTATATCAAACAGTTATCGATTATGTATGTATATAAATTTTTATACTTATGTATGTGAAGTGAAACAAAGTTCGGATAGGTATATAATATGTGTTTTTCTTTCCATACATTTATTTGGGAAAATTATTTCCAGTATTTAGTACTAGCTATTGAACTTAAAAATAGTAACGTTGACAGTCTGCTTCCTTGTAGCCGGTTTCTGCTCTAAGTTATAGTGGCTCCTGCTTTTGAAAAAATACGTACGGAAGGAACGCTTGTTGCCACAATTGGTTTCATATCCAATTTCACATTCTTCTGGATGATTGTGTTTAATATGTGATGCTAGATTGCTTGTATTTCCAGACGTTTTAACTCGTTTGTTACAAATAGTGCAAACGGCAGTACCATATTGTTTTTTGAACCATGACCATGACCATAATCTACTTCTCTTCATATTTTGAAATTAAAATTGAGTATTAATTTATTAGTAACCAACAGGTACAACACGTGTACACGTCACGTCATATCACAAAACATATACACTTGTCACTTGTCAGTGTTGCCAGTCAAGCGTTTTACCCGTTTTTGTGGCTATTTTAATTTGGGTGGGTTTTTCGATATTTTGATACGATATATTGAATTTTTCGATATCGATATATCGATATCGATAAGTATCGATATTTTTAGTTGTCGATATATCGATATTTATCGGTTTTCCGATATATCGTTGCATCCCTACTCCAGTAGCCCTCTGGATCTCTTGCCGACACGCACCCTGTTCCTTATAGCACTGCTGTCACGTCTACCCTGGGTAACTCAGGCCGCGGTGTTGTGGAGGTTAGGTTTCAGTCAGAACCCACTGTGGCAGTAGAAACTCGCTCAGACCGCAAAATTTAGCATTACGGACATGCCAACTGGGAGGAGCTGCCGTTGTATTGAATAGATGTGCAGCAACGCTTGCTCGAGTTCCTTTGTGTCTCTTCCAGATATCTTACGAATCCGACACCTTCCCAAAAAACTGGAAATTTGCTCATGTCCAACCCATCCCAAAAAAGAGATCTAAGACCGACCCTTATAACTAAAGGCCTACAGCTCTGCTTTCTGTTATAAATAAAGTGGTAGAGAGGTGCAAAAATCTCCAGCTTCTGGAGAACCTAGAACCTCACGGCTTGACTAGCGACCAGGCAGTATGGTTTCCGGTACCAACGATCCACAGTGGACTTTCTAGCTTACGTCACGCAATTGAACATAAAGTGTTCTGTCAGCTGTGACATGCTGCCCCTCTTATGTAAACTTCCATCGAAGCTTTGCAGATGGATGGCTGACTTTCTCTTGTCGTAATTGACGGGCTTTCCTCTTTTCATCCCACAACGACAATGTGTTTGTCGGTCTTGGCTCCGACACTCTTCCTTTTACATATCAACGACCTCATTTCCCCTACGATCAATCCAATTTACAGCTTTGCTGACGACGGCATTCTTCATGCTCAAGCTGATCTCTGCCGGTGAGCTGGAAAAAGAAGACTACCAGCGACTGAAGGTATAACTGCTTAGGAAGGCAACAGTCTTCTACAATTTAATGCTTCAAAAATAACGAACAAAAAGCGTCCTTGCTCTCATCCGGTTTCGATGGATGGCCAAGTTCTGACAAAGAGCCGTTCATATTAAGGTTGAGCTGAAAAATACCCCTGGATAACATTCCACCTTTTCAATTTAGCACTTTTGAGGTTTTCAAGATACTATTCTTTTATTTTATGTATGCAAAGTTGGATAAATGCCTATTATTATTATTTTTTTTGCCACGTGGCATTTTTCTCCTCATTGGGGTAACATTCACTCATCCCAGATGCATACGACATCAAAGGGTATGAGTTTTATCGCAACTGGTTACGCAAGGACGTTACTTTTCGCATTTCCCATGAACTTCCGAACTGTTCGAGCAGATGACTCTTCTCTAAGGGACAGTCTCGGGACCCTTTCGCATGTCAATGGGCTTTGCTCCTCAGAGCTCTCGTCCATAATGCCACCGCACGATGTGCCTGCCAGACAGACCCGCCTGACTTCGGCCTTCTATTATAACCGTATAGAACTTCGTACATCCAGAACAGGCCGATACGATCGCTTCTTTCTCCCTAGGTTATCGAAATTGTGAATTACATGAGGAGGCTTCTCTCAGTTTTACTACCTTAGGCAGGCAAAAATCGGATTAACAAAGTTTCTCTAAGCGTCTCATAGGAGCCGCGGTGTCGTGCGTTTAGGCTTCGACCTACGCGGCTGCTTCAATGTAAAAAAAGTCTTTTACTGATACCAAAGATATACTTATTTACAAAAATTTTCTGAAAATGATCAGGGGCTTCTGAAACGTAAAAAGACGATGTTCGAGCGATTTCTAGTCTTTTCGTTTTGTGCCCCTAGTTTCACTGCCACTGGACCGATTTCTCAAAACTACAAATCGTTTTCGTCATTGGAATAGTAGCAATCTTGTGTGAAAATTCCATTAAAATCCGACACGTTCGCTGCAAGTTATAGCGGGGCCAAGAACTAGCAGACAGACGGAAATGAGTAACATCGTTTTTCGTAATGTACGTGTCATAAAACATCAAAAAAATAGAATCCACAATTTTCAATTTTTTTCTCGACTACAATACTACCTCGCCATTGGCGTCAGAAGTAAAACTTGGAGTGCGACATAAACTGGTGATCTGTTCTTGCGTGGCGTAATTAGTCCTTAAAATGAGACTACTGCAATGGACGTGAGACTTTCATTAGTTTTCTGACGTTGATTGTGACGTGAAATATACGTATAGTTACGTCGTTGTGTTTTGGATCTCCGAAATAAAAATTAAATACTATTGAGCGATCCCTCCAGTGGGAAATAAGAAGAGGAATTTAATGAGGTCACTCTCAATGTGCGAACTACAAGTAGCGAACACGTCAGCGAAAAAACAACGAGGATAGACTGGACCAGCCTTAAAAGTGGATATAAACAACATATGAGCTATTAAAAATGTACTTTTGTCTCGTGTCCAGTGGAAAATACCTCATTGCTTAGCGCGAAGTTTTCCATTACTGGAAGTTCGACCTTGAAACATTACGGATCGAGGTCGATCTTTCTCAAACCTATAGATTATTGATGCGAGTTAGGCGTAGCTAAGGATAGTAGAACTGAGGAAAGCCTCTTCTGGTATATTGCCCCACATTGTCGGTACCACAAGTTCAACGGAGCGGTCGTACCGGCCATATTTATCGATGAATACAATACGAGCTTAAATGAAGTTTAGAAGCTTGACTAGTCCAACTAGTAGTTCTAGTACAAATTAGGTGTAAGTTTGTCATCAAAACAAAAATACACCCAAATATACTTACCAGATTTCTCGGCCTAATTCCCATGTATGTAGGAAACTGCACACTTTCAATTCCACTCAATATCTTCGTGTAAGTTTTGTAATTGTTTGGATCGTTTGAACGGAATGGTGTTTTTCCTGTGAGCATTTCGAAAACAAATATTCCGTACTCCCAGTAGTCTACGGCTCTGTCATGTCCCTTATTCAGTACTATCTCAGGTGCTACATATTCGGGGGTTCCTTAAAATAGAGATTTAGAAATATTGCATATATGGTTTTTGGATTTCTGATGCTTTACTGAGCTTGTGAACAAATCTTATACTTACCCGCAAAAGTATATGTCTTATGTCTATCAACAATTTCTTTCGCAAAGCTGAAATCAGTTAATTTGATATAGCCATTGCGTGCAAATACTAAGTTTTCTGGCTTCAAGTCTCTATACATTATGCCCCTAGAATGGAGATAGTCAAAGGCTTCCAAAACGCACGCACATATGAATTTAGCACTATCTTCATCAAATCGCTTATTCTTTTGTTTATGTAATACATTAAATAATTCTCCTCCTGTAAGTAATCATCATTATTGTACAATATGTTACACCTGACACTATTTAACTCTAGCACCATAGTCATTCCCATATGTGAAAGAGGTGGCATACTAATTGGGGTACAACTATAGGACGTATGGACTGCAGGGAGCCACAACCTCTCAGCATCTCGGAATGACCGTGTTCACTTCTATGGAGCCAAATAAAGGCATCAACCACATAGGCGTCCCATTGATTCTCAAGGGAGTACTAAGTATAAACAGATCAGGTTCAGTCTGCCATGGTGTATGCTTCCGCACGGGTATTACGTATCTTGAAAAGTGACATTATGCCGATTTTTTTTGACATTATATTGGCTTTTTGTGACATGTAGGTTTTTCTACAAGATGTTAACTTAGCACTAGCTGATGGACACGCTGTGAACTCGTTTTGTAGTTGTATGTGTTGCCTAAACGTCACGCGGCTTCAGTTATCAATGTTTGGCTCTGATGTGATGTAAAATCTGCTTCAGAGATGGCATTACTGGAGGTAACGGCAATGCATAGGTGCATATTGAGGATTTGTGTGCTAATAATATGTGTTGATGATAATTCCATTGGATTCTTGTCTCAAATACACTTACTTGATATTCAAAGCTAGAAATTAGTTGCGCATCCACGTTTTCTTATCCATTCTGGAAACTATATATGCAAATTTGCTGAATTTAAAAATTGAGAGAGATAAATATGTAATTATATTAATTGTAGACTGTCGAATTGCAAATCATATACATGCTAACACTAATTACACAGAACGTGGGCGCGGTGCTGATTTCCCGTAATTCTCCTCAAAGTTTTTGAAAACACAAAAAACGTAAAAAATATTACTTTATAACTTTGAACATAACCTGTCTTCCGAAAGGACAACATGTAAATACCCCGTCGGACACATGGCAGCATATTCAGTAATGATTTTCTCACATAGCAAAGATCACTGATTTTATACACATGCAGAAAAATTAGTTGAGCTATTCCTCCATAGATGGACGCTCTCAACGATCCTAGTGAGTAAAGTTGGAATGACTGTTGGCGCCCTAAAAGCTACATAGTCTGTAAGATGACATCTTATAGGTTGTTTTGACGTTTTATAGGTTTTTTTCGTGATACCCGTGCCCCTTTGGTAATACGTACGCCTAGCATTGCCGCTAGGTGGGTTGTATCCGGCCAGTGTTGCCATTTACACCTCTATGGTGCTGAGTTGTGTAATATGAGAGGTAGCATATCTATACCTCAGACTAGGTTAAGTCCAAATAAGTAGTTTTGAGATAATTATATATGAAATACTTTTCTTACATTGTATTGAATGCGACTTGATATGAGTTAAAAAGTCGCAATTTCCTTATTATTAAAGGACTCTGCTTGTAGTAAATGAAAATTCATAATATTATCATATTAAACTCATTTTTGACAAAAATGGACTTAACCTAGTCTGGCTCTGGGGTACATATATTGTATTTTAAGTGGCAATATTTCAACTTATTAAATTACAAACTTACCCAGACAAGCTTCCATTAAAAAGTATATGTATTTCTTGTCCTTGTATGTCCTGTACAATCTAACGATGAATTGTGAACGACATTTCATCTGTAGGTTTTTCTCGTTGAATACATGTTCCTGTTGCGCCATTCTGACTATGTCTACTTTCTTGATGTATTTCAGTGCAAATTGCAATTCTGCCCTCTGTTTATGTCGTACAAGCTCTACCCTTCACAAAAATTGAAAAATTAACGTAGAAATCAATTAATAGTATTTCTGTTCACTGATATTAACTTTTAAATAAACTTTAACTGTGCAGTGTTCACCATCTAATAATACGTTATAAAAACCACAACACGATGATGGTGAAAAGCATGCTGTTCCTCTAATCTCCGGGGGTTTTTGTGTGACAAATATTAATAACAGGCTAAAATTTGGCATTCGGTAGTTAATAGTACTACGAATAACAACCTCAATCCCTACCCACCTGAAAAAATATAATCGTTTTAAAAAGTTTAAATGTTGAAGTGTTTTTCTTTTCTTTATGCGACATTTTATAAATCCTCATCATTAGAATAAAAGCTACTATAGCTTACTAAACAAGTATTATACTTTGAAATTAAGACAATGTTTTAGGCATGGAGTGTTAGTAATACGATACGAAAATTGGATCTTTTTAGAGTAATTTGCTTGTTATTTGATCTCGATACATTCATTTTTTTACCGAGAGATATGACCAAATTTCTCTGTCTCTCCGAGCGTTTCTAAGGGTAATGCAACAATCACAAAATAACAACCCATAAACTGCACAAACGCCTCATTGTACTCAAACACCTTCTTTTTTAATGCGAAATCTAAGAAAATTAGATAAATATTATAAAATACTATTCTTGTAATAAATTTCCTCAGCTATGATTCTTTATATTTTTTGTTCAAGGTATGAAAGATGATTCAAATATATACCTATTATACAGGGTGTCCGCAAAGTTGAGGTTTTCCTTTTCAGACACATCTACGCTTGATATAACAAAGCTAATGTGGTGAAACGTGAGCGAAGAAGTAAAAACATAAACGAAAAAGTTCTCACTGTTCAGTTGCAGTGAAATTCCAAGTACGGCTCTGTCGTAAAACCCGTATTTATATCGTAGTTGTACGTCGTATAACAGTACGCTGGCGCTGTGGACATGATCGAGGAATGGGACAGGACCGGCTTCGGTTTGGTTCACATTTGATTGAGTTTGCGGAGCCCAATATCTCGGTTCTCTTAAGACATTGATGTATATGCTACTAAGAAAATGTCACGATCTACACGTCGTCTAACTTTGCGGACACCCTGTAGATTTAAACGACAACTATTCCTAGTGAAGCGAGACTAGATTGCCAAATAACAAACAGTCTTGTCATTTTTTAGGATCCATATAAAGAATTCTTTCCGAAGGGGTATTACGTAAAACAGATATAATGCGATTAAAAATTGGTATCAACGTATGTACTAGCTATTCACTAGTCCACGCCACGCGCACTCGCTGTGAGCGCCATCTATAGAGGAGTTTAACATTCAAATTCTTTCTAATCTCAAATCGACCAAATGTATTTTTACTTTCATTAATATTCGTTTATTTTAATATTGTCCAGCACAAATATTTTTGTTCGACATCCGCTAGGTGACGTTGCTCTCCCGCATCGAGCAAATAGACGCTGTATTAAGATGTATCTCTCGTTTTGTTAGGCTTGTCTAGGGTCAAGTATAGATACTTACATATCCGGACCTTCACTTGGCATTATTTTCAGAAAACATTTTGCATACCGCCTTACATGTGGATATTTAAATGTCAGCACGTTTCCTTCTATATATCAGGGTGAAGCTATCGAGCTTTTAACTAATAATATCTACCTGCCAAATCCACCAACGCCTAGAGTCCCAACGAGATCCAAATCATCATTCAAATCTACGTCTTCGTACTCCACTCGTGCTTCAGTTATAGACGATTTGGGCTTATCAACATAAACGTACTGGAATATTTCGCCCATTTCCCCGAATATGTCTATGAACTCCTTCCTAGCCAGGGTCAAACATTCAACCATGGGTTGATCAGCTGTTACCGTGGCTTTTCGGCAGTCTTCTTTTAGTAGTGCTATTTCTCCAAAGCAGTCGCCTTTCTTATAAACTCCTACTACACCTTCTCCATCTTTAGTGATTGTCACTGTGCCAGCTCGGATTATGTAGAATTTGTTTCCTATAATGGACAAGAAATTAGAGCCCAAGGTGCGAAGAGTAATAGGCTCTATCAAACTTAGTACCCAATATTTTATCCAAGACCCGGTATAAGGTAAGTCAAACATTTATAGTAGTCAGTATGTGGCATACATAAATTGATCGCACTATACCGGGTGGTAGGGGGTATTGTGGGTTTGTTAATGCAAATGTTATTGAATTCCACTACTAGATTATAGTGGGCGGCCCCAACGGCTACAAATTTAAACTATTTCCACTTGAATTATTGCCTCGAGTGATCGCGCCTTACACCACATAGGCGCCATATAGATCGATAGATATCCTGAACCGCATCCGCTGAGAAATGTGAAAATCGTTGGCAAATAATGCAGAATCTCCAAAGGTGTATTACTCTATCTGTGTATAAAAACTGGATGGGTTGACACGTGGGATTATTCCTGCCTTGGGATCACTCGAGGCGAATCTCTCTTCGTGGGACTGGACCCTCCTGGGCCAAAAAGTAAGTACCTGTTTCATTTTATTGTACTTTTATTGGGCGGCGTTTTGTTTTTCTTTGTGTTACCATTTGAGCCTTGACACTAGCGAGTCTGCTCAACCCAGAGCAAACTTGCCCTTCACGTCACAGTCGTGAAACTATCACAACATTTATGAAGGGTGATTCATATTTAAATTTGTATTTTTTAAATCCAACCCCCTGTGTATTACTGCATATTTGGATTGCTTGGTCAATTTTAGTGTCACTTTGTGTATCACACTTGATATAAGCGCCGTATGTCATTCGTTCCTACAATTGTAGGACGCCTATATGGCCTTCTTGATTTTCATAGTTTTCTATTGTTCCATGACAGCGCTCTATTCTGAGGTTATGTCACAAATATCTATTTGCATCAAATTGTTCATGCTTTTGATTTATATCATCTGTTTTATCAGCCTGAAATTTCCTGCAATTCAAAAAGAAAACACCCCATAATAGGAGAGCGCTGACACTGACACAGAACAGTAGTAATCTAGAAATACCCCAGCCTTTCTGAAGGAGAGAAAAGGCTATTAAAAAGCAAGGAGCCCACAATGCGTCCTACAATTTTGTAGGAACGACTGACGATACGGCTCTAAAACCGACTTTTAGCCACAATTGGTCATTTTTGTAAAGATTAGAAAACGTTTGAATATTACAGTCATTATAAAACTTACGAAGCTGAGACTTTGAGCTGTCATTGAATACAAAAGCTTAAGCCAGATGCCCAAAGTCCAATTCTGTTTACATCCGGAGAATCCGTTCCGGCAATTTGGAAAACAATCCAAGGTAACTTCAAACGGAACTACCTACTTTTTTCATATACCGTCAATGTAAAATTTGATCAACTTTCTATCGATATTTCTATCTCTCACAGTTTTATTTTAATTTCAGATGGATAATCTCAAGTATTTTTCAGTTTTCGGTACTGGTAGGCTAAGGAAAGTAACTAAATCCTCAAAGTATAGAACATTACCTATCATCCAAAAACACGTAACTAAAACAACAACAAAAAATTGAACAATTATCATTTTAGCAAATATTCAAAGTGTTTTTTTTTATATACCGAGCAGCCGCGCAGGCAGAAGCCTAAATGCCGGAACTCCGCGGGTGTTATGATGATCAAAAAGAAATTTTGTTAATACGATTTTTGAACTGCCTAAGAATAGTAGAACTGGGAAAAGCTTCCTCGTGTAGATTGTTCCACAGTCTCGACAGCTCGACACAGTTGGGACAAAGGAGCGGTCGTATCGCCCAGTTATGGATGTACGAAGCACGGTTAAAATGAGACGCCAAAGTCAGGTGGGGGTCTGTCTGACAGGCACATCGCGCGGCGGCATCATGGAAGAGAGCAAAGAGCGTTGGTGTAGCGATAGAAAAGAGCTAGATCGCCGACGGCCCGCCAGTGCGAAAGAGTTCCAAGACTGTCTGTTAGAGAAGGGTCATCGATCAGTCGGACCGCCCTCCTCTGGACAGCATCGAGTATGGATAATGTAGTCGGGGTTGCAGCAACCCAAACGTGTGAGCAATACTCAAGGCTAGACCTTATCTGGCGCATGTATAGAGTGAGGAGGTCATGCGGAGAAAAGCACTTCTCAGCCCTAAACAAATAGCCTAGCTTTTTCCCAACAGCTGCAGCTATTGACGAGATGTGTTCGTGCCAAATCAGGTGCTCGGTGATCTGGACTCCAACTAGCCGAAATGAATGGTTATTTGGCAGAACTCGGCCATCCATCGAAACCGGATGAGCGCTAGGACGTCAAAGTACAGTACTGTGTTTTGGAGGCCTTGAACTGTACAAGATTGTTGCGTCCCCAAGCAGTGATAGCCTCCAGGTCTCTTGTCAGAGAGGAAGTCGTCGCTAGCCTGCTTTTTTCCAGCTCAACGGCAGAGATCGGCTTGTCACTCTGAATTCCTGTATGTAAGAGTAGAGTGCTGCCGTCAGCGAAGCTCGTTGATATGCAAGAGAAACAGTGTCGGAGCCAAGACCGATCCCTGGGGAACACCCGCGTTGACGTTCTGGAATGAAGAGGAGAACCCGTCAATTACGGCGGATATAAAGTCAGCCACCCATATGCAAAACTTTTCTGGGAGGCCATAGGATGGAAGTTTGCTTAAGAGGGCAGCGTGCCACAGCTGATCGTACGCTTTCGTGATGTCAAGAGCATCGACATGAGCCTCACCATAAGACTGGATCAGTTTACTCCACAATTGCGTGACGTAAACTAGGAGGTCCCTGTGGATCGCTGGTGCCGGAAACCATACTGTCTGTCGCTAATCAAGCTGTGACGTTCGAGGTAGTCCAGAAGCTCGTGATGTATGCACCTCTTCATCACCTTACTTATAACAGAAAGCAGAGCTATAGGCCTGTAGTTGTCAGAATCGGTCTTAGATTATTTTTTTTTGGGATGGGTTGGACATGAGCAAATTTCCAGTTTTCAAGGAAGGTGCCGGATTCATAAGATATCTGGAAGAGACGCGAAAGAACTGGAGCAAGCTCCGCTGCACACCTCTTCAGTACAATGGCAGGAATCAAGTCCGCACCAGAAGCTTTGTTGATGTCGAGCAACAAGAGCACTCGTCTTACGGTCTTATGCCTGAATGTTACCTACCGCACAGTGTAGGGAACCCTTTGAATTGACGGCACTTGGGCGTTGGGGGGGGGGGGGGGGGGACGTCCATGGTGGAGTTGGCAGCAAAGATCTTGGCTAGCACTTCCGCCTTGGCCTTTGAGTCGAATACAATCGTTCCATCCTGACACGTAAGTGGTGGAAGGCTACTGTGTGAGAAGTTCTTTTCAATCTGCTTGGCCAGCGTCCAGAAAGACCGACAGCCATTGCGCTGTGACATTACGCTGTGCCTAACTTTTATATCGTGCAGGTTTTTGGCATTGCGAACCGCTTCGTTATATTTGTTTCTGGACTCAACGTCGGCTTGTCTGTTCTCTTCAGTGGTGGTTTGTAAGAAGGTTCTGTGTGCCTGGATCTTCTGCTCGCGAGCAGTGTCACACGATCTGTTAAACCAGCAATTGAACCCTGGTTTAGGCACTTCCACTGTGTGAGGGATGTATTCCGACGTGGATAATTTCGGCTATCGAAGAATGCATCCGCGTCAGTGAAACAGACATCTCTCCAAGGAAAGATAGATGTTGGATGCAAGTTTGAAATCTTTGTCGAAAAGAATCTTCAACTGTGCCCACCATTTCCGACTTATGAATGTAAAAATAGTTCTTGTTCGATTATTCATATTTTCAGGCGTAGTTGACTGTTCCTCGTATACCTTATCTATCGCATTCCCCCACAGAAACAAATCGAGTGGCTTAATATCAGGATAGCTTTCTGGCCGACGTATCGACACGTCCCTTCCAATCCAGTTGTGATTAAACCAGCGGTTAAGGCCGCACCGACGCAGTGAGTTTCAAGCCATTTACAAGAATTCAGCTTCTTCGAAAGTGACACTCCATTTTTCAATATTTCTGATTGAAATTCATACGGTATGTTCAGAAGACAATTGCCCAGTGTGCTTTTGGAGCTCTTTTTGAAATTTTGTATTTGCACAAGATTTACGGTGGGTTGAAATGCTTACTTTTTTTGTTGAACTTCGCGATTTTTTTAAAAAAAGCCTAGTGGAAATAATAAAAAAGTAGCTCGATAGCACCTGGTAGGGTTTTGTTTTCATCACACTGCGAAATTTTCATTCGACAATATTAAAAAACTGATGCGTCAGTTTTGAAGCGTGCAAACCCTTACAAATCGAATTTTGCACGAATTTTGTCTACTGTTTCGTGCTGCCAGCCCAAGCGAACCAAGAAAGGACGTTGAGCCATCCTCTCACGACATGAGCCCGATGGGAGGTGTGTACACCATCCTGTTGCAAATACATACTTCGAATTTGGGAGAGTGGCACATCATGAACTAGTTCGAATAGCTAGGTATTTAGGAAATATATGTATCTGACTGAGCTCAGGACTCTAAGAAAGAAGGATGGACCAACAATACTGGAACCAAATATGTTTGCCCAGGCATATATTAGCCATTTATATTGACTTTGTAACCGGAAGAACTACTTTTTGTAAAAATGCCGAATTGTAGCTAAACGGTTGGTTTTAGATACCAAGTGTGATACGAAATACGCACTAAAATTGACCAAGATATCCAAATATGCAATAATATATAGGAGGTTTGATTACAAAAAAATACAACTTTGACATGAATCACACTGTATAAATGTTGCAATTCGAGTGCAAATACTTTTAATTTGTAGTCTTTAGTTTTACCCACCATAATCCAGTGATTGAATTCAAAAACAGTGCCTGTGGGCTACAGAGTGAGAGTTAACGCACCTGGTCATGGATAAAACATTCAAAGTAAAACTAATATTGTACGCGTTCAACTGCATCCTGCATGTTCATTACTATGCAAAAATAAGCTGTCAATATACCTTTATCTCCTTGTTTAACAATTACTGCACCGGGCAAAAACTTTTCTGTTTTTAAAGAAGTTGACATAATCTGCAATGCATCCTTTCCTATGACATTCAGAGTTTTGTTGTTTAATAAAAATTGCATGATTTCATCCGCTTCTTTGATATTATGCTTTTGAGTGATTTTTTGGTATACATTGCTATCCAGGACCCACACCTTAAAAATACATTTGAAATGAATCTTATGAAGTTATGACATGGTACATTTACAGCAAATGAATGGATTAAATATATATAAATTTTACCTTTCCTTCTGTGATTGCTTTTATTGTTGCCATTCTTTTAGCATTGTAAAGAATTGCCAGCTCCCCAAAAACTCTTACATCGTCGAACTGCTCCGTTATTTTACCATTCACAATGATCTGGTACTTGCCCGATATTGAAATATACATGTGATAGCCTTCGTTACCCTGTTTGATAACAGTTTCTTTTGCTGACACTTCTTTCATATAGAAAGCTGGAACTACATCGTCCAGTCGTGTTCCTGATATAATCTTGCTTAGAAAGTCGTTTCTTCCTATTGCATCTCTAATAAGCTGCTCATCCCTGTAATGCAGCACATATTGGTATTTTTTAGCGATTTCATGGTCACCTTTATTTCTTATGAAAGTTCTTATGAAAAAATGGCGTCAAATATGTTAAATGCATGCAATGAATAAATCACAGATAAGCTACTCTTAGAAAGATTATAACTTAGGAATTAAATAGATCAAGTCAAATAGCTCCATACAGTCAGCACCAAAAGTATTGACCTATCTGTAAGAAGAAACGACAACGGTGCGATCACCTGCACCTCGCTACAGGCTTATCTCCTATTTTCGTTGCGCTCGATGTGGGTATCGAAAATATTTGTCGGCAAACATTCGGGGAAACCTCTGTGTGAAATATGTCTAGTAGGAGCGTGGAAGCGTATAAATATATTAATGCCAAAAGATGTGTTTTCCCTTTACCTTCGCTGCAACTGGATCGATTTTCAAAAATTACAAATCTATTTCATCTTTAGCATAATGGCAAACTTATTCAAACATTGCATTGAAAGCCTCAAGTTATAGAGTGGACAAGGATTAATGGACAGACAGATCGACAGAGAGACAGGAAATGAGTAAGATAATTTTTCGCGATGTGATAACATAATACTCGTATACCGGAGACTGAAATCTGAACATGAATTCTGGGACCGCTAATGTGCCCCCCTCTACTACGAATTTTGCTAAATAGTAGATGATTCTGGATGAACAATAATTTCATTCTGTGGTTACTTACTCAGGGCTTTTGGGATACGAGGGCAGTGTTATATCGTCATTCTCATCAAATTTCACGATCTCTGAGAATACAGCTGGTCTTCTCTCTTCAGAAGTCTTTGAATTTTTCCTAAGCTGAACATCGCTATCAGTCTCTGTTGTGTCTTGGTCTGGTTTTATCTCCGCATCATCAGCAACATCGTTCTTCTTACCTGCCATTGAAGTCATTGAATCAAAATATACTACTTTCACGGGGTTGCCATTTGAGTTGGATTTATCTACAAGTAACAAGAATCATGTATGTTTTAATACTTGCTTCCTGAGATTATCTGTTTGATGCATCACGGTGGCAATTTCAAAATGTAATATATCTATATCATCCACCTGACCCACCGTAAAAAAGGCAGCCGAAACGTTATTAAAGTTTTGCGATCAGCATGTGCTTTTACAGCGGCGGGTCTACAGGAAAATTTTGGGTGAAAGCAAGGAAAGTGAAATGATTGGATTTGTGATTATGTATAGGTAAGAAATAATTTTATTGAAAAATGCGAACTGGTTGCCCATTTTAGAAAATCCTCTCAACACTTCTTCAATGTTAAAATTTATATTAAGAAGAGCGTTGTTAGTGAATTCTAAATAATAGTTTATATATATATTCTTGATTAAAATTAAAAGTTTAAAGCCTACAGCACTGCTTGAATCTCCCAACAGTCAATTTTATTATTATTTGTTGTTTGACTTCACCCCTGTAGTGTATTTGATTATATGTGAAGTATGTGTGTAGTGCAAGTGAAAACTATGCTGCGGATGGTGCCATCTATTTCATCATGTTCTCTTGCACCAGAGGTGGCGCTGGCAAGACCTTGTTACGCACAAATAGTGGCGCCAAAAGCTACAAAAGCATAACCTTACTTTGTACCAGTCATCGACCACGCCAAAACTTTCAGCTAGCGTCTATGCAATATCTTTTTGTGGAATATAACTAAGTAAATCGTGTGAGTGAACAGTGAACCATTCCAGATTCCAGGACAAACCAGCCATCATAACAATTGTGATATACAATGCTTATTTCTTTATTTATTATATCTCGGGTATCCGGATTCCGGAGATAGAAGGTAAATGTTTTGTTCAGGGAAAATATACAGGGTGCTCCGTGAAGAAAATTGATACAGTGAAATGGTAGGTATAGGTAGTATGGACCGAGATATTTTCATATTCGAGAATAAATGGTTCTAAACTTAGTTTTTATGGATATACAGGGAGATTTATCAAAACACGCCACATAGTGAGTATCATATAACTCAGGCATTATAATAACGGATTTCAACGAAATTTTACACAGTAACAAAATTATCTAGGAGTAACGGGAAACTAGCCAAACGGGTATCCAGCGCCAGTCTCGATTTTTTTAATTATTTTGTATTTTATCAAAATCCATGGTGCTTATTAATCGGAAAAATAGATTCATTGCGCCTATTTGGAACTAGTTAAGCATTTCCATTCAAATATTTAGTATCGGCTTATGTGACACAGAAATCAAAATTCCAAATGTTACCAACTTGATTTCATCATATTTAATTTCATGTTTATCTATATAGAGTTTTCCGTGATACTGTTGGCACCTGATATTTGTTTTACGAAAGATACACCTTTGACAGTTTAGGTAATTAAGTTTTGTATTTTAAGTTCCTGGTTCCTTATATTCTTCTAGACCTTATTTTATTGATACTGTCGGTACCTGGTATTTATATCGTCTTTCAGCATCAAAAATACTGTTGATCGCTTTGTTTAGCAAAAAGATAGAAGGTGGACCTTTTGTTGTAGATTTAGTTATGTATTATCAATTACTTTGAATTAGTTCCTAGTACTCATTTAGAGCTTATTTTCTTAACACGTTGGCAGTTGGTATTTATTTTTCAAAAAGTCGTCCTTTTATGTGTTTACTTTTATATTTTCAACTTCCGTATATGAGTTCCTTAATTTTTTTAAGAGCGTATTTCAATATCAGTACCTGGAAGTTAACTTTTTTGCCAGAACGAACAATACTGTTGAACGCTTTATCTAGAAAAAAGTTTGGAAGATCGAAGTTTTGTTGTTGATTTAGTTTTGTATTTTCAAGTTCCTTGTATTAGCTCTGTATGCTCTTTTGGAGGTTATTTTATGCTGCTATCAGTTATGGATTGCTTTGTCAAATTCTACAAGATGTATAACACGTGTGTTTTGTTTTCTTACTATTCCAATATCCCAAAAATATAATAGTTGAAGAGATCTTACGTATTTGCAAAATACTATATATGATAAGTAGGTATAAATTATACTGCATTATATATATGAGAACTTGCGCGTTGGCCCCTCTCTGGACAATATGATCCATATTCAAATTGAACCTGTAATAGTCAATATTAACCATTCGGATGATGATTCAGGTACTTCCAGAATAAAGAATTATGAAAAGTATGTGCACGTCTTTCTATAAAAATAATAATTTATTTTGTTAGATTATTCCAAGACCATTGAGGAAAATACGGATTTGTACAATCTCGCTTTTGGGCATGTTGTGTTTTGTCTGGGCGTAAATAGACTACGAATGGGGTATAAATAATCGACTTTGATTACTTCTGCTTATAAAACAAACTACCTATCTTTTAACCAGGTGTAAAAATATCAATTTGACGCTCTATAATTACACGCTTATCTTTCATTCTTCTTTATAGCAGTGCTATGCTTCTGAGATATCTATGCATTTTTTTCTTTGGAACAATACAAACGTTCCATAATAGCTCATAGATTGGTGAAGCTTCAAAACAAAACACTCATCTCTGCAGACAGGCAATCAATTAATGTCAATGTCACATTAGATTTCAATTGCACATGTGTGATTCAATAAAGAATTGTTTTTCTACCAGCGAGCTGAAAGTGACACTTTTCCGCATGCGTTTCGGCTTGGAGATTGTCACTTTTCCGCACGCGGGTGTTAAAGGTAATCATTGTTTGAGTGCACTGCCACCCTTCCCAGAGTTGTATAGTCCGTCATAAATCTTCAAAATGCCAGCAACTGATCTTTTGTTATCAACATTAATTATGATAAAATTTAATTATGTTCACGTTTGTTGTTACTAAAACATATGATTTCAATTGTTGCAATATATTGTTGTTCTTCTTGAAACGCGATGGTAGAAAAAATCTTGCGGAAAGTGTCTTTTCCGCACTCGAACTGCTGGCCGAACGACGTGAAAGCAAGTTTTTGAAAATATACTTATCACTTTCTGCACTTGTTAAGAAAACAACTATTTTAAATAATTGCGCCTAAGAAACAACTAGTGGATATGATTGAGAGAATCTGAAATTTAGATTTAAGACAGTGCCTTTGTTCAATTTTCTGAATTTTTCTTACACCTTAAAAGCCACGCAGGCAAAGCTAAACGCCAAGGCACCGCGGCTGCTATGAGGAACTTAAAGAAACTTTGTTAATCCGGTTTTTGAACTGTCTAAGGTTAGTAGAACTGGGAAAAGCCTCCTACTGTAGATTGTTCCACAATCTCGATACCCTAAGGAGAAAGGAGCGGTCGTATCGGCCAGTTCTGAAGGAAGTTTTACACAGTTAGGATGAGCGGTAGGAGTGAGCTAGATCGCCAACGGCCCATCGGTGCGAAAGGGTCTCGAGACTGTCCGTTAGAGAAGAGTCAGCGATCAGTCGGACAGAGCGTCACTGAACAGCATCGAGCATGGATAATGTAGTCGGGGCGGCAGCACCCCAAACATATGAGCAATACTCGAAGCTAGATCTTGGACGTGGTAACGAGTGGGGAGGTCATGTGGAGAAAAGTACTCTGAACACATAACCTATCTTTTCTTTTGCACACTTTCATTAAAAATAACGACAGATGTTGAATGACTATTAGTAGTTATTGGCTTGGGTATTAGTATAAACTCAACTTCAAACTAGGCAAAATATGAATTACGTTCGTATATAACTATTTTTTTCTACCACAGTTCCACAATAAAGGCTGGCATTGTCATTGAATGAGTATCCAGTTTGTGTGTATGAAAGTAAACTAGCTGATTAAGTACTAGCTTGAATATACTAATAATGTAGTTTTCGACCTATTAGTGTTCTAGTTACTGTGTCTATTTATCCCCTAATGCACTTGCATTTTTCTTGCTTGTTCCTCACCCTATTTTTTCCTGTTAAAAAAATATAGCTTTCCTAGTGATTACTTTGGTGAGGATAAGAGAAAACAATAAAATACCTGAACGATATCCTAAGGCCTATTCTATCTTAATTAACTTCTTGAAAAATTCAAGTGCAATGATATAGATAGACAGGATAAACAGAACACTCTGTTCCATTGGCGGATTTAGAGGGGGGACGCCCAAGTCTGAAATCTAAAAAAATGGCATCTCTTACTGTATCTTAGTGTCTTGATAGACCCTAATCGTCAGACGTGCGGCCTCTCCCCCTAGACTTCTCAAATGCAACCGCCTCCCCCGTTCTTCAATTTTTAATCCCTGGCGGTGAAGCACATCATCTCATATATGCTGCGCCCCCTCCATAGACAGATTCCTAAATCCGTCATTGTTCGATTGAATGACTTAACTATTAGCTTTGCATTCATACTGGGGCTTATGAGTTAGCTAATTCACATATAGAGCTTGAATAAAGTCATTTACAATTTCAATGCGTAACTTTGTACAAAATCGTATGATGGAATAGTTTCAGCAAGTAACAGAATTTTTAATCCTCGACATACATAGTTCATTTTCCTTTACTATAACTAAGCGTACTTGATTAGAGGGTAACAGTTATTGCGAAACTGCCGAATCATTCTTTATTATCACTCAAATGACGGGTCTTGATAGTTTGATTCAGTAAAAAACTTATTCTACAGTCCGTATTGCAAAGATTGTATGAAGGCCTTATAGTATCAAAGATATATACATTATCTTAACACTTTTCCGACTAAGCCTAATAAGAGGTGCCTGGTATTTTTCATTTATAACGTTTGTATTTGTAAACGGCAGCAAGATGAATCATTGAGAAGATGTACAGAATTTAGTCAAAAAAGTACATAGATATACTACCTTGAATGGGCACATGTCCATCACCAATAGTTGAAATGATTTTACCGTTACTAATCGAATACCCACCGCTATAAGAGCAAGTCGGACAGTTCCCCATGTTTCTTACACACTATCACAATATATCATCACTGACTGTTAAGATGTGATAAAATTCAGTTTTAGCTCGGTTTGTAGTATCAAATTAAATCTACAGATAAGATAATTCAATAATACTTTTTATTTTGTAAACTTGAACTTAACTGATGTCAAGCATATAGTCCAGCAGACAGAGGTACTTCTCTCTTAAAATGTTCAAGGTATTGTTAATACTTAATAAAAGTACATGCGTATTGAGGGGTTACCCGGCAGCCATTCGTTTTACAGAACTAGTAACTCAGAAGAGAAATGTATGTAGTCATTTTTTATCTGCACGTTAACAAAATAAACTTAACCTAAATGAAGTGCTGCTGCTTATCTAGTAATATTTGAAAATTCCCCATATCGGCAAAGGACACATATGTCTGATGGAACAAATTTTTGCCAGATTTACACCCGATGCATTATAGCCAACGTTATAGACTAACTCAAAAATGCCACTTGCTGATCAGGTGTTCCCCTCAGTAGACGTCAAAGCGTGATGGATATTCGTGAAATAGGGTATAGAAATCTCACTCGGTCTCTCGGCCGAGGTTACTTAAACTGAGATTTGGTAAAAAGCGAACAAACTGAAGTGGGTAAAATGAATGCGGCTGGAATTATAATTATAGAGTAACAACTCCAATAAACAGAAACATATTATCTTTTACATGTATGTCTTTGATTATGTTCCGACCTCGTCTCGTAAATAGATTAGGTGTAGTATCCCCTTTCCCGGCCAGCGATTTACTTCGCCGAGGCCTTCATATAATTAAGATCGAAAATCACTTACACGTAAGTTCGCTCGATCATGTAATTATAAATGTTTTAGAAATAAAAAATACAAATAGAAACGACAATAAATTGCAGTATAATTTCCTTCAAGCATGTTTTGACACATCAAAGAGAAGACATATTGAATATTTGCCCCATTCGTATTCTTACTCACGAATAGGGCAGTATATATTCGCATTCATATTCTCGAATGTCTAAAAATTGACATTCGTTACATCCCTGGTATGTACTACCCCACCGAGCTAACTTAGGATATTTGTTATTTTTAATTTTCATGATTTGTCGTTCGAGATTAAATGTCAATGTCATTTATTTTTCGCTGATTATCTAAAAATTCTTAATAGTATCGTAACTTCCGAAGCCTGCCATTTCTTACAAAATAGTTTGGAAATTATCAATCAATGGTGTTCCAAAAGCCTCATCTCACTAAATGTGTCAAAGTGTAAGTAGTAACATATGTAGGAAACAAAATTTTATGCTTTTTGATGACTGCAGTATTAATCAGGTAAGTTTAGAAAGGTAACAGTTATAAAGACTTAGGTGTTACATTTGATACCAAGTTCAGATTTAATGATCACATAAATAACATTACAAAGCCTGCTTTCCATACTGTTTTAGAAACTGGTCAGGTTTCTCGAATGTTGAAACAATCAAGCTTCTATATCTAGCATGTCAGAAGCAAGGTTGAATATGCATCGCTCATCTGGGCACTTTTCATCAGAACTCTGTAGATTGCCTATTCAACGAAGAGCTGTAAAATATATTTTTTCCATTGCAATCGTTTCTATCCACAAAGATGAATTTACCATAATGTATTGCTCAAAAGTTTTGATATCAATTCGCTTGAAGTACTGCCAAATATTTTTGCTCTGTCTTTTTTGTTCAGTTTACTCCACAATAAGAATTATTGTTCATATATTTTAAGTAACATATGTTTTAATGTTCTTCACTTAGGTAGCTGTTATTGTACTGTAATTTCTGTCACACCAATGTTTTTTCCAAGTTTCCCGTTCATAGGATGTATTCAATACACTATTCAATAGTGTTAGTAACTGCGACATTTATTTAGTGACACTTAATCTCGCGTCATCGAACTTTACCTTGATGAAGTTGTAAGGTAGTATATTATTGTTAATTATTTACTTAAACACTGAAAAACAAATACCACTGACGTCGTAATGTGTACGAGAGAGAAGTGCGAGAAGAGTGCAATACGTGTGTTAGAAAGAGATAGAAGTACCTCGTTGCGTAGCAACACGAGCACGAGGTCACAGATGCCATCGACGCACTCTTTCTAACGCTTTCTATTGGAAGCTTCTCGCTCTTCTCTCTCGTACACATTGCGACGTCAGCCATATTTTAACCTCACAGTATATTGTTATTCTTATGATATTTATTGATATTTCCTATAATTTGCTGTATCTGCCTGTGGGAAATAAACTTATTATTATTACTATTAGTAGAAAAACAATTATCGCCATTGTTTTTTGATTTGCCCTTTGTCGTTTATAAATGAATTAAAATCAACTTCTTTGTATTTTTGTAGAAGTACTCGCTCAGCTTTTGTATTTTTCTGAACAATTTATTAAAAGTATTTTACGCGCGCGAAAAAGTAGATTTATAGTGGTCGGTTAAATAGCTAGACCTCTTGTTATGGGCCGCCTCAGAATGGCGATTATGGAAAATAGTGTTCCCAACGGAGCCATTTTCGCCACCTAAAACTGATAGACAAACAGAATCGCGAGAACGCAAACTCTCAGTGGGAAATTATTTTGCCATGGGAAGTAATACGGCTACAATATTTTAAAAAATAAGCGTCGAAGTAATCACTTGTCTCCCGGACTAGCATTTTTGATTTGGTTCGTTGAGTGCTTACAAGTGAAACATGATTTCTTCGGATAATCGTGTAACAACCTAATCAAAGATTAGTATTAGTTAAAAATCCAGGTGTGTCATGGATCTGTGAATTGTTTCGCGACTATGTGTTCAATATGCTAGAAAAAACTGTTGGCATGAATCAAATCTAGTTGATATGATTTTATCAAAACAAACCTGATGAACATAATATGAAGTGCCATTGCAAATCAATTCCATAATCAGTATTTACTGATTGTTGCTCATAAACATGTTATGGGCGTTAAAAGGCGTCATTTTGTACAGTCTACGAAAAGCTTAGGCACCTTAAAATTAATTTTAAACCTAATTTATAATTATTTTTAGGATTTTTCAAATATTAAATCGCTTATACAGGGTGTTCCTTAATGATGTGCGAATATTTAAGGGTGTGAATCCACATGAAAAATTAATGTTGGTTTGCTTTATAAACTATGGTTCAAAAATGTTTCCTTACAAAAACTCGGAGTGTTGAAGTTTTAGGAAAAAAATGGAAATTAATTAATATTTTTCGAACCCCGTCAGATATTTTACTGATATTAAGGACGTAGTGAAACTTAATAAAGTTACATATCTTTCAATGAAAAATAATTTTTAGTTTTAACAGTGGCGTGCGGACTTCGATATTTTTTAAGGAAAAAATGGTACGCCAATGGTTTTTTGGCAAATAAAAATTATTCTTGAATTCTCCGTTCAATTTAAAAATGATCTCTCTTGAACTGTTTTCTTTTGATGTGCCATTTTTGAGAAAAAAGAAATAAAAACCGTTCTATTGTCTAATTTGAAAAATTAAACACATTAGAGGTAATCAACAACAACAACAACTGATAACATAAACATAACATTAAAACCAACGAAATGATTACATTGAAAATGACCCCCTTCACTTAGTATGCATGCTTCCGCCATCCTCATGGATATGCACACTCGTTGAAATATCCCTGGAGTGTTTTTTATTCTATCACAAGCTGCAACTATTCTTTCTCTTAATTTCTCTACAGTGTTAATGGGACTTGTGTACACTAGTGTCTCAAGATAGGCCCACAAAAAGAAATCTAAACTGTTGAGGTCTGGGCACCTTGGTGGCCATTCTTGGGACCCCCGGGCCAATCCAACGATTTGGATAAACAGTTTGTAAATAATTACGAACCGCTACACTGAAATACGCTGGTGCACCATCATGCATATTATTTCTTATTACTAACGGCACATCAAGCAGCAAAGGCTACTAACTGTTGTCGAAGAAAATTGAGGTAAGTCTGTCGGTCAAGTCGTCCCGGCAAGAAGAATGGGCCAATAAAGCGGTTGCCAATAATTCCTGCCCATACTTTGACCGAAAATTGGTGTTGGAAATGGGTTTCGGTAACGGCATTGGAATTTTCTTCTGCCCACAAATGATTATTGCGAAAATTCTGAATGGCATTTCGAGAAAAATTTGCCTGTACTCTTAAAATATGGTGAGGATATAACAAAAAATCCACTAAAATTCTCCAAACAATTTGATGGCAAATATTTAAGTGGCTAGCGATCTTCCTCGTACTCATTTCAGGATGTTCTTCGACTTCGTGCAGCACTGCTTCCTCAATTCCAGGTGTTCTTACACTTAGAGGTCTACCTTCAAATGTTCCTTTTCGGACAGAACCAGTTTCAACAAGACGACGATGAATATTAGAAAAGGTTCGACTATCTGGCAAAGCACGATCGGGATATCTCTTTTGATAAATCCGTCTGGCTTGCTCACCATTACCGACGGCAAGGCCATATACGTAATGCATTGCCGCCATTTCTGCATTTGAATAATTCACCCTTATTAACAAGATTGTAAAAACTAAATAATGAAAAAGATGTCACAGCGAACAGATTTGAATAACAGAGACTTGTCAGATGTCAAAAGCCAGTGACATATTCCAGAGCAACTAGATATTTATTGCTAAAATGCATTCTTCAATTATTAAATTAATTTTCTCTGACAATAGAACGGTTTTTATTTTTTTACTCAGTACTGAGCTTCTTCCATAGAATCTCGTGGTACTAAAATGAGATAAAGTTACTACTTATAACACGGAAGTGTATTTCGTAGGAACTTTTAGATTCAAAGTCAAACTGACAGTTTAAGCCTGAAACTTGCATTCTGACACTGATACGTAATAGCAGCTGTCCCGTAATTTCGATCCGGATATTTTTTGAGCCGAAAAGCGAGATAACCGAGGTATTTACTATGGAAACTGACCCAGGGGGGTCAGGAAATGGCGCTTCCACCATGGCATTGGAGATGGAGTCGAAGGAGCAGACCGTAGAGGAGTTTAGAGCCGAATTGGAGATGGTTCGACAGGAGCTGTCAAAAAA